TCAGCTCTTTATGACTTGTTACTTTGTGCTTTAACATAATCATGTTTTGAAATATCCTACAGTGTAAATGTATTGCAGTGCCAGTACATTAAAATGCTCCCTAATCCATCATAATCTGATTGGACCTTTCTCTTGTAGTTCCTACTGTTCACCACTAGGTGTTGCATAAGGGCCCTCAGGCGCCACATGATCGAGTCACGTGGTCAGGATGTACTTGTTCCACATGGGTGCCAGTCTGCTATCACTTGTCAGAACAGCTGTGGCTGGAGCCGGTGAGCATGGCTGAGGATGTGACTGTATCACAGGAGACTCTAACAAGTGCTCTGACTCTGTTGGTCAACTTGAGCAAAGTTCTCCTGCAGAACGCCAAAGACGATGCAGCAGGTAGGCCTGATCACAGAAGTAAGGTGTGCGTCTAGCGACGGACCTCATTGGAAATTTCAACATTTTATCATGTTTTGTTGCAACACAAGTTAGACACTGTGGAGAAAATTAGTTTTGTGTTTTCTGAATGTGTTTCGTTCTCTTGAGTAATTCGGCATACAAAAGATCCAGAAGCTACACGACTGCATCAACTGTTATGAAATTTAAACTTCAGTCCTGTTAAACAAGCCTGTGCTCGATGCGACTTCAGTGCCTGTTATATGAAAGATAGTTAAAGCAAAAACAGATGAATCATTAAATTGACAGCAACATTTTCTACGCCGAATTAAAGAAGAATTGTATTTGATTGGGAAATAATATTTAGATTTCTTGTACATATATGTTTTTTTGTTTTCAATAAGATCAAGAGCATAAAAATGTAATAAATTTGAATGGAGTCTGGGGTTATGTTTTCTGGATGTTGTATTTACAGGTTAGATTCAGTGTACAACTCTGTAATATGTTCTTTCATTTTAGCCTTCTGTTTTATCCATCTCAGTGTCTGAGGGTTTTTACTGCAAACATATTACATATTTATCTTTGTAGTTCTCAGGTCTCCTATGAATATTTTGTAACTTATCCACAAAACCTGCTTCTTGAGCATTGTTAAAGCAGGTCAGTGTGATCAAGTCACTAGATTAAAAGGCCCCACTGGCATGAAGGTGGTGTAATGTAATCCCTGTCATGCTTGTTGCCAACATAATGACGTTGCATAAATTGGTCGCAACAAAAAACTGTGGCTCTTTGTTCTCACGCAGTCTCCCTGGAGAATTTAGTCCCGCATAAGATCACCACTTTGCTCGGCCTGATCACGGTCGGAGCAGACTTTTACAAAAGGTGAGTGGGGTGGGAGGGGGGCTCTAAAGGCTTATGGAAGCACATTTCACATTTGTCTTTGGCTAAAGCTCCTATGAATTAACCAACCTGCTGCTGTTGAACAGCCTCGGGGTGAAAACGAAGAGTGAAGCGGAGGCTGTTTGGCAGAAGTTCTACCGGTAAGTACGATGGACAGAAAACGAACTGCTTCACATGGAAAAATTATGATGGGAAAAATTACCCAGTGCATGATTTCGCTGTTCGTTGACAAGGGTAGACAAGGACATGTCATACAGGGAGTAGTAAACAAGTGCAATAGAAAATGAGCAGGTAATTGTCTCGATTGTGGGTTTTGTATTACAAGTTTCTGCAGGTGTCGTCGTTCCCTGCAGCATATCGAAACATGTCATTATTATTTAGTGCTTTAGATTGTGGGAGGCCTCCTTATTTAATGCAATAAATTGGGGGAGATCATATCACCGCTCAAAAAACTTCCCACAATTCTCGTGATGACAATTCAGTCAACCTCAGCTTTATGTATGTACCACACACAGGTGATGCAACAGGCTTCACAGCTGTCATAGACAATTCAATGAAAGTATTCAGAAGTTTTATAGTTGTCATCACCACTTCTACATGGTCTCATAATTCTACTTTAACTAACAATAGGCTTGTGTGAATCCCAAGAAATCTCTCCCGACATTGAATAATTCAGACAGGACACATGACATGCATGAGCGTCTGCCGGTGACTCTGCTGCAGTGATGCTGAACAAGCACGACACAGACATTCCCTGAGATCACAAACCTCTCGGCAGAGACTGAGATGTTTAAATGATATGAAAACAGAAACAAGGAGACCAGCTTAACACGCCACAGTGTACACAGTCCAGCGCGCACACAGCAGCAGCCCCTTCAGGAGGCAGCGACACGTAATGTTCAGTGTCTTATTCCAGGTGTGCATTCTGCAAAACCTGCTAGTTGAATAATCCTGAAGAAACGCTCTCTCATCTTGCCTGTACTGCTGTGTATGTACAGCAAAATGACAATGAACCTGATTTGATTTGATTTGATTTGATGTGAACCGCCTGTCCCACAAAATGTGCGAAACGACCAATCCCCTGATTCTCTGCTTCCTCTATAGATTAGAAGGCGTGTCTCTGGCTGAGCAGTTCAGGCTTCTTCAGCTTGTCGAGATGTAATGACAGGATGCACACTGCCCCCAGCTGGCTCCTCGTCCTCCTCCTCCCTGCCAACCTCTGCACAGACAGCCCTCTTTGTTAAACCTTTGAGAGTTATCATATTGAACCTTTAAAAAGGAGGAGGAGGAGATGTGTGGATCTGTGGAGGCTGGTGTAGCAGCGATGTGGCGATCGTGGAGCAGGCAGAATGAATGAACACTGAGTCACTTATAAAGTGCGCCGTGTGGGTGGGCTGGACTCGAGTAGTGAACGGTGAGACAGAAAACAGCTTGTGACCTGCCTGAACTAACGCAAAGCTCTATTAGTCAATAATTTAAAGTCTAAGAGATATATTGGGCGGCTGGGGCTCAGGTGGTAGAGTGGTTGTCCTCTGATCGTACGGTTGGCGGTTCAATCCCCGGCCCTTCCTTGGGCAAGACACTGAACCTGAAGTTGCTCCCAGTGGCAGGCAGCACCTTGCATGGCAGCTCTGTCGCCATTGGTATATGGATGTGTGTGAATGGGTGAATGAGAAATCATTGTAAAGTCCTCTGAGTGCCGCTAAGGTAGAAAAGTGCTATATAAGTGCAGTCCATTTACCATTTATTGTTAGTATAGTATGTAGCAGGCTGCCGTAGCTCTGTTTGGACTTTCTGTAGAATAGAATAAGTTGGTTTGAAAAGGTGCGTCATATAACTTGAGTATTTTTTCAGCCATGAAGAAGTCAGAGAGCAGGTGGAGGAGCTTCAGCAGCTGGAGGTCTGTATTCACGATTTTATTCCTTTTTTAATGTTTTAATTATTTTTTCAGTTAGCTTTTTTACATTAAGTCCTTACATCCAGCTCACAGACACAGTAAATCTTTCCTTCTGATCAGGAGATCAGGATTACACTCCAAATGTTTTAAATGTAAAAACAATTAAGTCTTGATCTTAAAACGACACTAAATTCCATTTGCTTAAATAAAGGCTTTGGAATGTATTAAAGTCTTCATTTGAAAAGTCATTATTTATTTTCTCTTTTCTGCAGTTTTTTCCCTTGTTTTGCATTTTGATTAGTGTAAATGTGATATGTATATTTCATTTCTCGTCATATATGCCCTAAAAAAACAGCAAATATTCATGTTTTGTAGCTAAAACCTGTTTATATATATATATATATAATTGTTCAGGAAACGACTGAAAACTGTGATCGACAAATTGATTAATCAACCAATCAGTGCAAGTATAAATAATAATTATTTTTAGCTGGTTATCCATCTATCTGTGTCCTGCTGTGTATCCAGATCACATATAGCATCATATATAGACCCTGCTGGTTTTCCATCATAACTATTTTTGTATTTTTTTGTCCTGTATGATGTTGGTATTAAATTACATTTACCTTATCAGAAGTCTCAAGTTTTATAAATTATATATATTTAATGAAAGCATCTAATTTTTCTCAAAGCCTGTACAGTTATGACAATTAATAAATGCTTTACGAAGCAAAAATTATTCTGTTTCCAGTAGCGTCTGTGTGAGATGTATGCATGGTGGCTTGGTATATAGAAAACATGAAATAAAGCGAATTTGGTCTAAACTAGCGCTGAAATGGTCAGACTTTTATGGATGTGCTGCTGTTCACGATTTAACAGAACTGTCAGATGGATATCTTTGTGTGATGGACTTTTAATTGATTGTTAAGAAAACTCTCAACAGCCTCACTGGAAAAAGAAAATTACTATCAGCTGATGTCCAGATCTAAAAAAAGGATGTTTGTTTTCAGAAGTAAAAGTATTGAATTAACATCTAAACTACTAAGCTACAGGTTTTGGGGTTTTTTTTTATCCTGTTTTCACATTTTTCAAATTTTCCAGACATTATTTTTCTATGTGTCTGCACCCGAGATCATGACTGATCCTATTTAAACAGACATGGATTTTAACTTGAGCTACGTATTACATCCACTGTGTTTGCAGAGTGACTGGGACTCCTTCCTGGAGAGTGTGGACACAGGCCTGCAGACAACACATGAGCAGCTCTCAGGAGCAAAGACAGCAGACAGCCTAAGCCCTGATACCACGTTCACAGACGCACGGAGTGGAAAGTAGGTTCACACAGCGTCCCGACCTTTGAACAACCAACACACACCACTTCTGCTGGTTTGAAGTCGCGTTTGATGTGGTTTATTGTTAATTACAAACCACAGTTTGGTTGCCGATCGGCTCAGATGGGCAGCCAGAATGTGTCGGTATTTCCTTAAATCGGATTTTGTTGTGTTGTGGGTTTGAAGGAGCGTGACTCTGGATCAGTATCTAGTCCAGGGTCAGAAGCTGCTGCTGGTTCTCATCAGACATGTCGGATGACTGCCGTGACGAGACCACGTGGCCGAGCTGGAGGCCAGTCAGGTCAGTGTACCTTCAGTGTGATGCTACGGATGTTTTTTTGTACAACAATATTCATCCATGCTGCTACAACATCACCTCATTATGCACAAGTACATTTTGTAATAACTAACAAAAGTAGTTTGCATCACTGTGTTGTTTAAGATCTGCTATATCTTAACGCCTTTGCTCTTTTTTATATATTTTTTTCGAGTGACCATTTTAAAAACATCCTCAAATTCAGTCAGTAATGGATAACAGATGAAAGACACTACAGTAAAAGGTTTTCTGGTCAGTTTTCCTACCATTTCATCCAACTGGTAAATGTGTTAGCAAATCAATAATTTGCTTGGAGGAGGCCACCCAAAGGTGACTAGCATGGATACCACATGGGTGCAGATGTCCTTCTGGTTGGATTCTCAGCTTGGGACTATCTACTACATGATATCTTGTCCATTCCCCTCCATTTCCTGTCTCGTTTCATTGCAACTGTGAAATAAAGACCAGAAAATGCCCCAAAAATAATCTTTAAAAAAAATAGTAATAATCTGCTCAGAACTCAATTTTGATTTATTTGGGAAAAGTACCCGCTGGACTCCACAAAGCAGACATTTATTATAAATACTACCAACAGCTTGTCAAAAAGTAATAACCAGGAAGTGGCAGAGAAATCTCAGACAAACATTATCGTGCTCAGCCCAGACTGATAAAATCAAAACTAAACCCCACTGAGAAGCCAAACTCGAGTTAGCCAGTAACCGCTAGCGTCGTTAGCAACCTAGCATCATTAGCTGTGTTGTTATCACTACGTCCAGAGATTACACATGTGGTGACAGAATGGTTGATTTATGAAAAGTAATGAGTGATTTACATGACTTTTGACTTACCTAAAATGTCACTGTTTTTCCTCTTAAATCCAAAGTCCCTCAGATGGAGCTGAAAAACATAAAATCCACCATCCCCACTTAATTTTTTTTCAACTCAACAACTGTTTTTAAGGGGTACAGAAGTAGTTAGCCTGGCTTTGTCCAACCTGCATTGCTAAAGCTTGCTGATTAATATATTATTTTTCAATAAACACAAATGGATTCAAAAAGAGAAGTTGTGGTTTTGTAATGGTGCTAATTCTTAGCCAGGAACAGCTAACCAGTTGTTGGTATAGCTGGTATTAGTCTTCTCTCAGCAAGAAGGTCCATAACTAATTCCCAAAATGCTAAACTATCCCTTTAACTGTGCGGACACTTTGAAGTTGCTTCTGGCTACAAGGGGTTCCAACATTTTTTCCAAAGTGGCTGTCTTCACTCGGCCTTGCAACCACAGCTCATTTACTTCCATATAAATAAATTACTGGCAGCGGAACAAAAATGTGAATCTTCAAGAGAAAGCAAAAAGCAAATTCTTCGGCTGGCTTGTAATCCGTTTAACTTTCTGTCATTTCGTTGCTCTGCAGACCCTCCTGCAGGCTCGGTCAGTGCGGGTCTTGGTGGTTTCCTTCGCCAGCATGGAGGGAGCTCAGGTGTGGTTGGAGCAGACTGGATGTACCTTCGATGTGGTGCTGGATCCACAGAGAAAGGTTGGGATGTGTGTTTTCACCCTAATCAGCTGATTAAATGAATGACATGATAAGGGAATTCTATAAAACTAGGCTTGTTTTCTGAAAAGAATCCAATATAATAGATCCAATCTGCATTTGTACGCTCCATCTGTGTATAATGGGCAGGTGCATATGAATGAAATGGGCTGTAATATAGTGTAATATATGGAAACTAGACACGGCTGTGACTCAGCACAACAAAGCAGGGGGAACCAAAGGATTTAGCAGCTGTTTGATGATGTGTCATAAAGGCCCAGCAAGCTGAGCCTCTAAACCATTCATTCTGAAAATTCAACCACCAGATGTTAGCAAATGTGAAATGGAAACAACCGACAACGAAGGCAGAAGCCGCAGTAGCATTTCCACATGTCACAGCAGCAATCGTCAGTCGTGATATATGTGGGTGTAAAGAAGCTGATGTCGTTTTTTTTTTCAAATGTGCGCCGCCGACTATATAAATCTGCCAAAATAGGCTTCCGGAGTAAATAGTGGACAAATATATCTTTCCTGCCGCAGGTCTACAGGAGTTTTGGCCTCGGCTCGTCCTACGCCAAAGTGATGAAGTTCAGCTGCCTGCTACAGTACTCAGAGTACGGAGCTGTCAACAGAGACTTCCCTGACGTCCCTTCTCGTCTGCTGGAAGACATCTATCAGGTACAAATGGACAAAACAGCAAACTACTTTGACGCTGACTAGATACTGATGTGGTGGAGAACATAGTGCTTTATCTTTGCATTGTGTCTTGCACATTACTCCTGGAATACTACACAACCATTGGTTTACTGAGCATATGCACCACCTAAGCCATGACAGAAAATTGCAGGAAACATCCAAACTAATTTAAACCTGCAATATAGTTTTAACCACCAGGGGGCAGGGACAACAAGTTGTAAACACAACATTCACTCACATCATTGCTTTTTGCTTCCATCCAGAATGGTATGGAGCAATATTATCAGCCTTAATTCAAGACAATCATTTGAATGTTTGAGCTTATTCTGTGTGACTTTTTTTTTTAAAGCCCAAGCTGAGTGTTTTGTGTGTTTAATTTTCTATGTCCTGATTACTGAGTTCCAAGTGACTTTACCAATTACCCATAACGCATCTTGAAAACTCGGTATTCAGTTGGTATTTTATAATCTGGATAGTTTTCTTCCCAGATCAACATAATGACCAAACTCGTCTGGTACCTGTTACACCAATAGCCTGCAAAATTGTCCTTCTCCATTTTATTAGATAACAATAACAGACGGTATTGCTTGTTAAGCTGAATATGGTCATCTTGTTTTAGTTAAAAATGAATTGTGCATTTAGTTGAAAATGACCCAAAACAAACGTCTAACTGCTGTTGAGACAAGCCACACTATTAGGCCGTTCAGTCTCACAGAGTCAGCACTAATAAATATAATTGGAACCATATTTCAATCTGATGTTTTCCGACCACAGCAAGAGCCTAATTCCATCAACACAGTATAGATGGCGCACAAACACTTCATAGCCCTCTGAACCTTCATCACTACTGTTGCAAGTTGAAGAAAATGCACTAATTGTCACCTGTTTTTGCCTCATTAGCACACACTACCATGAGTGATGTGGTCTCGTCTAATCTCCAACAAATCTTCAGTCAACTCCTTCAACCTAGTTCCTAAATGTGACTAACAAGAAATTTGGATTCAACAACCCAGATGTGTATTTTTGCAGCTTCTTACTTCAGTATTTTTACTTTTATTAGTGCATTTATTGGCTGTGAAGTAAAAACAGTGAGCTGAAAGAGGCTAAAAAGCTCACCAGTGCTGCTAATCGTTCTCTGTGGGAGTCCACTTTCACTTTGCATCGATCTTTTGATTAAATGTCAATTTCAGAAAACACCATCAGCTTCAATGTGGTTTTTTTGTTTCCAGATGGGAGGTGACTTTTTGCTGAACGACGCAGGGAAGGTGCTCCTCTGTCATCCGTCTAAAACCCCTCTGGACAGGCCGACGGTGACAGACATCCTGCAGGCTGCTAAGCTTTAAAACATCAACATTTGGACCAAAAGCTGTGATATCTGCATGTCAACTTGCAGATTTACTGAGCCAGAGTTGATCAGAGGTTTAAAACACACTGACACCACAGAGGAAGAGCAGCTCTTTGACTCACTTTGATGACGTCACGTCTTGCACTCATGACATCATGAAGAGATGTGATCGATGCTTAACTGTGAACAAAGACAACTGCTCTTCTTTGCTGTGTCAGTGTTTCACTGGAAGCATTTAAGAAGTAGTGAAACGACATTTAATTAACACTTGATTTTATAGTACATATATATATATGTGTATGATATTAAACTTAGAAAAAGACACTGATTTGCTTTAGCAGTTTTACCGTTAAAAATACATCGTTGCAGGTCTTGGTGGTCCTAAATGGTAGCTAAGGTGACATTATTAATTTTGAAGGGTATGAAAGGCTTCATTACTCAGTAATTTAGCAGTACAATGCTTCAGCTGACTACTGAATTGAATGAAAGAGAAGTTCAAGAAAAATAATGTAATCTTTTAATGCAGATATATTTTTAAATATTTTTACAGTAGAAAAAATATGTAATTGCTGCTGTGTTGATCTTTTTTAATCTGTTAATAAAATAAGAATAGTCATGAACAGTTTGATGTTTAGATCCCTCAGGATTACAGCAAAGCAAATATGAAGTACCAACAACTGGTTGCAGTATGTGGTCAATTATGTCATTGTTTTCTCTAATTCAATTTACAATTTGGCAAAAAATATCCTGAGTTTATGTCAAGTTGCGTGCATTTAGACAATATTTAGCATTTTAGAGCTTCAGCTGGTATTGTTAGATAAAAAAAACAACAAGATTACTTACGTATTTCTCAAAGTACGGTATCAGATGTTTTATTTTGGTATTGGCACTAAAAGTCATTGTATTTTATCAGCACTGGTTGAAAAACCAAAATGTACCCAGCTCTTGTGCTTCAGTGGACGACAACTGGACTTCTTCCTCAGCTCTAACTGGCTGGTGGCCCATGCATTTACTCTCACCTCCAGATCACATGGACTTGGAGGCTGTTAATGACCCACGTGCCTTAAGGTTTGAATGGTTGTGAAACATGTAAATAATTGTGAAACTGACTAGTGAGGGATCTCAGGACTGCATTCTAAGTACTGATAAGTGAACTATCTAGAATCTACTGAGGAAGGTTTTTAAAATGAAAGGTGAAACATCCACAAGAACCAAAAAAAGAAGTCCAGTTACCTTAAAAAAAAAAAAAAGCACTCATGATTACAATGATGTGGATACTGGGAATGTACTGAGGAATTAAATCTTTCTTTTAACTTTGAATGTTGTTTGTTTAGAAGATGATGCTGTAATTCATGTCAACTTGTAGTAAAGATTTATAACACTCCTATGTTCCATACAGCTTCTTTTTTGTTTTACACACTGGAGGACTCAGATGTAGGATACGTTTGCACGCTGTGATGTATCATTTTAGGGGCTTGAAAGTGGAATCAGAAGTCAGACTGTAGCTCTGAAAACGTTGGCCTGCTATGGCCAAAGTTGTTGGATAACCAGCACTTTGACAGGAGTCATGTTCTGCGCCAGATCATACTGAAACATCGTCAGTCGGAATAAAGAAGTACTATTTAATTCCTGTGCAACCTACATACACTGATTTATATCTTCAAGATGTTTCATATGTGCTGATTCTGTAGAAAGTTCCTCCTGCCTCTCATTTTCTGCCTTTCTTGGAAACTTTAAACAAATATTTTGAATTCCATGAATGAAATCACATCAAAGTCCTGACTGGCTTACATTCATATTACTGCAGCTGGAAGGATAATATCATATTTAAAACACTAAATCAGACTTATTCAGTACAGAACTTAAACAGCAAGACAGGAATCTGTGTGCATTTGAGACATATGTTTCCCTAAAACCATGAAATACTTTCATGGCGAATGTTTTTATGGTGCAAGATGCTGATACCACTTAAAGAATGCCACATGAGTACTTAAATGAAATTATACTGGATATTTATATGAAAAAAATCCTAGGTATTCCAGGTACGTGTCTTTTAAAGGGAAATAAATTATTTGAAAATAAAATAGCTTTTTATTTTTAATGTTTAACAGCTGATTATAAAGTAGAAGTAATGTGATAGAGAAAGAATATTTTCAAAAGAGTTCATTTTAAAGAGCCACCCTGTCATCAAACTCGCACAGATAGTTCATGGTCCGATCGCAGTAGTGGTCCCACCAGTCGCCATCGTCCGACGACATGGCCACACAGTTCTCCCGCCTCCCTCCGTCCGGCTGGCTGGACAGAAAGTGTTTACGCCACTGGAAGTATGAGACTCTGGTCCCGTCGTCGAAGAGGTACATGCCCTCAGAGCGCAGGTCGTTGATGCCCAACCACACAGGCCAGTTCCCCGGCTGGAAGAAGGCTTTGACGTACTCGGCCAGGGCCTCCTGCTCCTTGCGGTCGCGGGGCATCGCCATGCGTCCGCCGCGTTCCAGGCACTTTCTGGAAGCACCGGCGTAATCCTCGTAGCTGTTGTACACCAGGTAGCATTTGTATCCCATCCTACGTCCCTTCTCGCACCCTACGAAGCAAAGAGAAAAAGAAGTTTAAATCGTAATACCCACGAGTGTTGATTCCAAAACACAAAAAAAAGTCACTTAAAACCTGCATTAATAAAATTTTTAGCCTCTTGAAGGCAGCCGAACAACCCTTTATAAACTATACCGAATCAAAATATCAGTGCAGGATGTGCTTATTCTAATAAATCCTACAAATTCCTGAAACAACCAAGCATGCACTCTACTGGATATGATATTGAGAGTAGAGTCAAAGAGCAGAAATCATAAACCAGTAACGAGTGTATCTACTATTTGCATCATGCACTGCCACAAATCTGCACCGATGTGAGCTTACGAGGTTATAAATGCTGGTTGACGAATGTTGTTCCACTCTTGTAGAAAGTCTTGGTGAAGTTGGTGGACATTTTGGAGGAGAACATCACATTGTCAGACACTATCCAGGGCGGTCTAAAATGATTACTTAGGCAACAAATGGTGGAGTTGTGGATAGTCAGGCTTTGACCCTGACATGCCAACAGCCCATTCTGGGCTTTTTCTCGTCACCTAAGGCATCATGTCATTCGAACAAAGTTGCATTTTAAAGTGCCCTTTTCTACCTACTGGGCAAAGGAGTGTCTGTGCAGTAGTCCCAGTATCTGATCATCTATCCATCCATTATCTATACACCGCTTAATCCTCGCCAGGGTCACAGGGAGGGTTGGAGCCTATTCCAGCTGACTCAGGGTGAACACAGGGGACACCCTGGACAGGTCACCAGTCTATCACAGGGCTACACTTAGAGACAGACAACCAAGCACACTCACATTCACACCCACGGATAATTTAGAATCATCAATTAGCCTCAGCATGTTTTTGGACTGTGTGGGAGGAAGCTGGAGAACCTGGAGAGAACCCACACTGCACGGGGAGAACATGAAAACTCCACGCAGAAAGATCCCAGTTGTCCTCACCAGGAAATGAATCTGCGACCTTCTTGCTGTGAGGCAGCGATGCTTACCACCGCTAACCACCTTGCAGCCCCCTTTATGTGCACAGTTGACTTAATTTTAATTATTTTCTCACCACAACAATAAAAATTTTATTTTTTTTAAAAAATCTCATAAAAAGTCAGAAAAGAAGACCATTTGCATGTATCATTGATATTTTTGTTCAGTGTGACTGTGGCAAACACACAGTTCCTTTGGAGTACCTCTATTTAGCTCTGTTTTGGTCTCTACCAACACCTCAGGTAAATTCCTGTCTTCAGCTACGATCGTGTTCTCCATCTAGTCGCTAACTTTGTCTGTTGTTTGATCATGTCGTATGTAGTGGGTGTATGGAAGTTTTTGCCCTGAAAACAGCTGCCCATTCCCCTGGAAACAAGGTTGATGAGGTTGGTAAGATAAAATCATAACAGAGTCAAAACAAACTGCGAGTTAAACTTGCCAAAACACGCCACGCAGCTGAGGGGAGCAGTAGGGACAATTCTCTCTTAAAAATGCTGGTTTTGCATACAGACATCAGAACAAAACACTGATTAATTCTTGATGCTGTGGTTTCATGCCTCTAGCAGCTGCTGGTATTTGGATGATAGGCACTTATCGCTGCTGAGACATCAGTTCTTCAGTTTCCAAATATCTGAGTGCACCTCTGGCACCCTTTAATATTTTCCTTCATGCAGTAGTTAATTTGCAAAGATCTTTGAAGCTGACAGAGATGTGTCATACAGTCAAATTCCAACACACCTCTTTGATACTAACATGAAGTTTATTTGCATACTGAACATGGATATGTCAGCTCCAGCATGTTGCATCATGTGCCTGGTTTGTCTTCCATCCTGTCTTTCTGTGTACACTTAAATCTCTCACACACGGTAAACAGAGGCAAACTAATTTCCTTTCCTGGTCTTCAACTTATCTAACTCCTCTTTAATCAAATGCAAAGTGGAGAAATTGCCGTTCACATGCAATATTTTATTTATTCTATAATAAATTAGAAGCTACAAGACCTAAAAGTGTTATTTATCTCGATGCAGCTGTGAGAACATTAATGACAGGCTTGCATGTCTTGATCTTTCCTTATTATTGATCAAAACCCCACAGATCAAATTTAGATTTTACTTGCTTCAGGGCCTTTTGCATGATGTCAGCTTTGGATATTTTAGGGATCTCGTCCACAATGTAGCAACTAACATGAGTAAAAAACAATTTCAAGCAATCTCATTTCTAATTTTAAAAGGTAACACATCACAGGAATTCAATAAAAGACAACTGGACTTCTCTTTTTTTTTGTCTTTTCTTGTCACCTCTGATCCAATAGAGCTCCTCTAACTTGAATTGTGGGGAGTTTTGGTAATTGTTCTCTCCCCCAAATCACATGGCTAATGTTCCGTTAATGGTCCAAGACTCACATGCCTCAAAGTGTGAATGCTTGGAAAACTGCCCAGTCAGCAATGACTCAGAGTGTTAGTGGTGGTGAAACTGTCTGGATGGAGATGTCAGGACTGCACTGTAAGTATCTGATAAGTGGTGTTGCAGACCTGTTGAGAGATAGCAGCTCCAGTTTAACATAAATGGCTCCTTTAACGTCTTTCTCAAACCATCTGTCTGACTGTCTTGTGTTCATTGCTGTCCTCAGAGTGGAATTCCTTATGCTTCAGATTCAGGTGAGCTGCTAAGAGTTGTCCCAAGTAGCTCGCTCTCCTATGTTCTGCCATACGTTTGTACCTTGGACATCCCTCACCAGGCAGTTTCTCAACCACTGACATCTTGTTGCACGTGATTCTTAATGTGAATGGACCATGAGCCATATGATTTGGGAGTGAAAATAAATACCTGGGACTCCTTCTTTAGAACTGAGGACGCCTTATTGACAAGAGGTGAAACATCTTCATTAATCCAAAACATCTGGTCCGAATGTCTTCAACTGAAGCACAAGATTACCACGACCTGGATGAGAATCTACATGGACACATCTAGTCACATTGGGAAAAAAAACTAGCCCCACTTATACCTTCCAGTCTTCCGATCTCCTTGCGGTTGTCCTTGCTGTGCTGGTAGACTTCCCGGATGCTGTCCTCCAGCTCCCCGACTTTAGCTGGCATGTTAGTGATGAGAAACCACAGACAGAAGGAAACATAAAACTTAGTACAGCACATGGCATCGTTCTCATTAGTCGTCTTTAGGTTTAAGGTCTGCGGTGGAAAATAAAACCCCTATATTATATCCTTACCGTCATTTGTCTGTGAAACTAAATGACCTAGTGGGAATGCTAGAAACATAGTACCAATAGGCCAACAACATAGTGAAAAGATTTGAAGGAAGAAGTGTCTAGTCTTACCATCCATCCTGGACAGACGGTCCATCAGCTGGCTGACCTTAACATCCAGGGTGTAGTGACCGACATTTAACTTGTGGATGGCCTGGTCCATGCCAGCTAGTCTGGACACTGAGGGACAGAGCAGAATAGAAGACAGACCAGAGTATGATAGAAAAGGAAGAGAGCAGGAAAAACAAGGTAACCAAATGCAGATGTGTTGCATTAAATATGAAATATTACTGTGCTACTTTAAAACTACAGAGATAAGGCTCAAGGCTATAACTTTTTATACGCACAGATATTTGCCTCTTTCGACTACAACTGTACAGTATTTGGCTAAACAAAGCTTTGAATATGCAATAAACAACATACAGACATAGTTGTATGAGTTTTCAAAGTCTGATACTGGGCTGGTTGGCTCGGGTTCAGGTTCTGGTAGAATATCGGGATAGTCGCCTCTTGCCCTCTTCACCTTTAGCGAAGACGCCTGGCAAAGACACACACAGAAAAATCCTTATGATGTTTAAGTCCTGGGAGCTTCTTGGCTCTGGAGATGAAGTGGAGAAGAAAACAAACCCAGTTTTCCCACAGCTTATTAAAGTAAGCTTCAGATGTTCAACACAAGCTCATTAGGGCAGTCTCTAAACTCTGGGTAATTCAGATTAGCTCCTCATACACATCTGGACCTGGCTCATATTCAAAGATTCCTTACAGTAAAGTCAGGTCACTTTGCCAACATTTACAGCTCTATCAAAATTATGAACCTTGATGGGGCTCGACTAAGTTTATTTCCTTTAAGATGAGACGGTCTGTGGATAAAAAAATACGGTTGCTAGGGACATGGAACAAACTTCCATGATCCTTGAAGCACTGGCAAATTGCCTTGTTAGCAAAATGATGAATGCAGAAATAAACATTTTTGCATTTTTGTCCTTGAAAAGTTTAATTTAATGTCAAGTCTTGGTGCGATTGCCAAAACATCCATCCAGCTTTGCTTCAAAACATCTCTACTTTACTAAGCAACAGTACCCACCACACTTCTCTCAGTGTCTCATGGACCGACAGAGGAAGGGGTGTGTTTCATTTTCCAGTCTGACGATAAAGTCCAGTGTAAGAAAAACCTGTCTGGTCGACCTGCTTCTCTGGGTGTGTCATCATTAATCCTTCATTAGTCACTGACATGTCTGGTGTTGTCATCCATCCCATGATATCATCACTTACAGCAGATTCACAGGATATCAAACTCATGTATACTTCACTCACCCCTTTTGTTTTTTGCAAATACAGCATCTTATCTATTAAATCAGAATGTTCCATGTCTCCTTTAGTTCCACAAATTCGCAGACATGCACTCAGAGCAGTGTGAATGGGCTCAGTGTCTTACCCAAACAAACCGGCATGATGGATCATAGTCAGGAAAAAAAGGCAAGACACAACAGTAGCAGCAACATCTCCAATTCAAAATCAGCTGAAACCATGTTTTAGTAGCTGAAAAAAAAAGCTGAATATGCAGTATATAAAGTCCTGACCTGTGTTGGTGCAGCGTTGTTCGTCCCTGTAGGAACACACACACCCAGAGAACATAAATACAGGAGAGCGAGCAAGGTGGCAGCTGGTCCCATTTTCTGCTTCCTACAAACTCTGCTTTTCCTTCAGCAGCAAAAACTCCCTCTGTACCTCAGAGTCGCTCTCTCTCTCTCTTTCTCTCTCTCTCTCTCTCTCTCCACAGTCTGCTTCACTCCTCTTTCCCTCCTGACCCTCCTGGAACAGCAGCAGGAAAGCAGCGGGAATCTCCCATTAGATATGTGAATGGGAGCTGGTGAACACCCCCTTTAAAAAAAAAAAAAAAAAAAAGAAACACAAATCCCAGGTATCAAAGAGAAGAAATCAGAATAACATCCCTGTCGTGTAGCCCAGGACAGCTCTCCTTTCTTGCTAAACAACAGGAAAGCTCTTTGTTTTTGCTCCCACCTCCCATTTCCACTCTTTGTGTGGACACTGGATTTACACAGGTCTCTGTCCTGTGGAAACCATGTGTCTTAAAACTGTAAACTGTCCATGAACTAAGAAAAACAGCCTGGTTCTGAGATGCTGCAATGAGGTATTTTTAGACCTTTTAAAGCCTAAGAAGAATTTCACACTCCAAAAAAAGCATGTATCTCCTAATAAATACCAGCTGTTCTCAGCTAACAATGCAACTACATGTATGATTCCAATAGATTAACATGTTAGAGTTTCATCAGTCCGTACCGAATGTGTAATAAATGACCTACTTTGCACAGCTTTTTGGGCTCCAAATTCATCTCTTAAATCTCTAATCTGGAGATACAAGGTTTTCATACATTGAAGTCACTGTGAACAGTCATTATAGTCACAGTAAAGTATGTTATCCTAAGAGTCAGTGACGCACATATGTAAGAAAAATAATCTGGTCTTTCCATCAGTTGTCATGCAGCAGTATTGTTTGATATGCATGCTCAGCAACTGTTGTAAAAAAAAAAGTCTGTTTCGCTTTTAGTACTTTGTGTCCTTGTTGGTTTAAAGTAAGCAAAGGCAGTGTTAAGTGCTAAAACACAGTGTAACAGTAGCACATGTAGAGACGAGCCAAAATGTCAGCACTGCTAGTTACACAGTAACATGTATCAGTAGCCACATGAATGTCTCATATGATGAAAGTCCATTATTATGGTTTGTAGTTGTTTTTGTAACTTGGGGGTGTGAAGTAAAAGCTGGCAAGATATGAAGATGTTTACTTCTACCATTCCTCAAGCCCCCTCAGCAACTAGATAGCCTCCCATCTTTACAAGCCAGTTAGACGTTTACTGAACTGCTATGTTCCAACTGAGGAGCCAATAGCTGTCCAGAACTAAACTTTGGTGAGCATTCAAAATGAGCAGCTGCCTCACAGTCCACCAGGTATATTTACTCTTCAGAGCTGCTTCTGCTAACTCTGAAATGTCTCAGCCATGAACAAAGCTCACCAAACGTTCTGTTGTCGGCTGCAAGAGTGAACACAGGAGTCTTCATGCACTGCCAGCAACTGAGGAATGGATTATCCAGTGGATTACTTTTATTGTTGATGGCAATGTTCCCATAACAATAGGAAAATGTTAGTGGATTGTGTGGCTAATGAGGCTAATGTTGCCATTAGCTTTGATAGCATGGTCACAGGTCATAGTTATGTGGAAACTGTAAAGCTGAGGGACATTCAGAAATTGTGAGATCTTCAATTAAAAACCAATAAACATAGACTTTGTGGAGTTACTGCTGTGCTTCAGTCCAACGTAAACTCAGATGATGCTTTTTAAAGCTGTTTTCTTCTCTCCTGCTCTCTGTGCTCACATAGATTGTATTTGTTGCTGATTTTATAACCGCTATGTTGTTGGACAAGCCCACTTTACACATGAGTTAGCAATATTTCCATGCAAAATGATTCTGTAGAGAGAAAGTAAGAACAGAAAGTCCACATCTTGCACACTTAATTTATGTTTGTGTTATAACCGTTTTGCTTTACGCCGTCAATGACAGATGCAGAGAGAGTCGTCTTCTGAAGAAGCAGCAGCAGGTCAACTACATTTAAAGCTACAGACACTGAAACAGCCTGTTTGAAACAGAGCTAAAACCTAGAGTTATGCACTTATGGCAAAATGAACCATCTTTGCAGCATTTTGAGCTAAACTTTACTTTAATCAAGTAGCTAAAAAAAAGGGCCACAGTATGAGACCTTTAAAACTACTGGTGTTACCAGACCACATGAGGTCGAAACAACAAAACCCATGGGTGTTCAGAATGAACAAGTCTAACCTTTATGGATTAGCATCACAAATAGAAATATAAACAAAGACCACCTATATATATTTATACACACACACAACATTTTTGGTAAACGCAACATTTACAGTTGAAGTTTAATGAGAAGGCTTGATGTTTTATTATTTTAGAATTTTAGGCAAAAAACAAAATTTAAAGTTCACCATCCTGACACAAGTAAAGCACGACTGCCAGGCTTGCAGTGTATTTATATGGCTGAAAGTAACAGCTGCTTCATTTAAAATCAGCAGCTATAGGTGACAGTCTTATGGGATGCAGTCTAAGTAATATTGACATATATATGCCATTATCATATATGTTATATATATATATGCAGTGGGGCTAAATATCAGGCGTGTTTGCCAAGCTTTTATTGTGTAATTAAATAAACAGTGGTGAAAGAAATATGGGTTTGTGGATCTGTTCAGGAAATGATGACATAAAAAGAAAAGAGAAACCTTATGTAAGGGCTTGTGCATGCATGAGTGTGTCTGTGTGTGTGTGTCTTTGTTTGTGTGTGCGTGTCTTTGTCTGTATGTGTGTGTGTGTGTCAGACTGTAGCAGGAGGAATGCCAGTTAAAATGCCACAAGAATTCAGCAGAGTTTCCAGGGAAGCGACTGAGGCGAGGCTCTGGGTTCTGGAGACTGGGAGGAGCGGTGGCAGCTACTGGGACTGTGAGGTACAGATGTGTTTGAGGCTGCAGGACGACTGCACATACACAGCTGTTCCAGTAACAAGATGGATTCCAGAACTTTTTCCAGACCTCAGATTGGATTAAACAAGGGTATGGAAAAAAAATTACCCCTGGGAGTCTTTGTTTTGACCTTGGCATTTCTTATCATGGTGTTATGGAAACTAGTAAAATACAGCGAAGTCAATCCAACTAAGGAACTGCAGTCAAATGTACTGTTATGCTGTTGTAAAAAAATTGTCCATTTTTGTGATATTGCATATTTTGGGATTTTGAGTGGGTCAGTGGATAATAAAGGCAAGTTCAAGAGGTCACCTAAGGCTTTATGAAACTGTGATAGAATAGAATGTTTCACCCTTGGAACGAACTAAAATATAATGGTTAAAAAAATAAGATGTACATTAAGAAAGACATTTTAGATAAAAGCACCCTCTTAAAATCCCACCGTAACTGAAAAATATTCTCAACCATAAGACTACAGTGAATGAAATGAACCAAACTTGCAGTTTTGTGGTCATATAAAGAGAAGGACTGAGCTGCAGATGTTTCAGATACGGTTAACTTATCACAGATTCATCGTAACTCATCAGTGGAAAAACATTCGGATGACTAAATTTCCACATAACCATGACCACTCAGATGTAAACAATGCTTCAAAAACAGGGGAAACGTCGAGTATCTCTTACTGTCGGTTGAAGTCTTTTTACTTTGGAAAAAAAGGGATCTATGGTTTTCCTTTCACTTTAATAAAGTGCCTCATTAGTCTGCTGGACATACACTGGTACACAACAACAGTCCTGTCTCTGTTTCAGCTGTAAGTTGAATGCCGTGCAATGATTTTCATTTACCCAAACGTTTGCTGAAAAAAAAAGAATTTCAGCCAAACATTTGCTGAACACAAAGCAGCCATTCAGGGTCTGGAAGTGTTGGGTGGTGCTGCAGGGAGGCGGCCGGGCCGGACAGAGGTGCCTCAGTTCAGGGAGGGATGATGAACACTAATATACAGTACCATGAAGACCAGCGCTCCTGGATGATATATGTGGACATAAGCTGTTTATGGCCTGACTCCGACCAGTTTTAAGTCCGTAATCTACTGCATATAAAAGCTGTATAAAGCTGTTGTTTGTGGCCACATAGGAGCTGAGTGAAGCCTGATAAACCACCTCACGTGATTTCGCTTGAGTCGGTGTCGCTCCAGGCTAACAGCATAACACACATGAACCTCCAAACATACAAATGTGGATATCAAGTTGCATTTTGGGTAATTGAGACGCCAGGTCTTGACATGAAGAAGAATATGTGAAAAAGAATTAGGCTGCTTGGACAGTGTGCGAAAGAAGTGAGTACACCCCTGTGAAATATCATTTAAATGTCGAATGCATTACTTCTAAGTTGTACAGTTGGGTGTTTGTGCATATGTCAACAGTTTACATTTACTATGTTAAAAAATACAGGCCCCACAGTAGGAACTCAAGCCAACAAATGTCAGTAACCCTAACACATTATTGAGATTCAATTCATTATTATTTTTTTCAATACTTGGCACATCCATCTTTATTCTTGATGCAGACTTCATCCTCCTAAACATGGAGGATGCGAAAGTTTTCGAGATGTTCTGTCATTTATCAGTTTTTTTTTTTTCCACCTGCTTGTTGCTGGAGGGGTTGTGTTGCTCTATCTTTCCTCTTTAAAATACCCCAAATGTTCCACTGGATTTACGTCAAGCAACATACTTGACCAGGTCACAGTTTTCCCTTTTTTTCTTCTTTTGAAACTTGTGTCATTTTGGCAGGGTGCTTTAATTCAATTTCATGCTGGAATATTGCTCTTTTGCCAGGCTTCTGTAGACGGGGAGTCATGTTGTCAGCTAGGATTTGTTGTATCACTGGCAGGACTATGTATTCACTGTGGTAGTCCTGGTCAGGTTCATGCCAAACATGCTGGACTCCATCTGAGCCAATCAAATTTATCTGGGCCTTTTCCCTTTTTCCTTGGTCTGTAATGTCCTTTACACTGTCTGAGCTGTCACAGAAACTCTTATTTCATTTGATAACCCCTGGGCAATTCCGAACCTACAAATTGCACAATTACTGAGAGGTGCAACAACTTTGAATCATTTGAGTTTTGGGTGATATGTCACAGTTGTGGGCTTACTTCCGTTTTGTATTGTAGGCAGATTATGTTACCTTTGGACTAGAGGAAGCGGTTTTAAATCCTACTTAGAGCATTTATGTCAAGATATGCAGGCAGTTTCTTTTTTAAAATGAAGAAATAAGACAGTGACCCTTTGAGTTTACTGAACTTGAAAGATCACTTATAATTTTAGATATTTAATTCAATTAATGACTAGTCCGACTGACAAATGTTACGTTTCCCAGTTTGAAGAATCAGCTTCATTTCATATGCTGACTCATGCTTTGGCTGCAGCAGCCCTATGCCAACGTCACAACATACATTATGTATGAAACACAGCAAAGCTCTTGCTTCTTTAAATAAACACTGCAGAACGGCCTCTTTGCACCCGAGGGAGACAGCGGATTGAGGTCTTACAATTCTAAACTTTGCCAAAGTGTTGTTCTAACTGAACAGCGCAAAGTTTCCTTTGAGCACCGGACATCCTTCCCTTCTCCTTTCCTAAAGGACACTTTGGATCTGGTAGAAATTACAGCTGGAGGAATTGATGTCATTAGGTTGAGAGGGAGATCAATAAGAATGCAAACAATCTTGATGAAAGAAACAAGCCTGCAGCAAAAACTTTGGGTTAATAGTACAAATTTTGACTTCTTTCCATCAGACTTTCTCCTGTGATGAAATCAAATCCACCACGAGCTGATGTGGCATTTGCAACCATAACAGACAGTGGAGCAGTAATGCCCTCTTTTTCTCTAAACAGAAACTTAGTGTATTAGCACGGCTTTCCTTAAGTTAGGAAAATTTGTGGATGCAGCAGACAACATAAAAGAAATGGAAAACAGCACCTATACAAAGGAATGCAGTTTATGACCAAAAAGCTTGGAAAGAAAAAGACAAGTAACAGGTTTAATTTATTTACTTCCTTCCAATCTGTGACCTCAAAATGCAAGAGTGCAATACACAGGTATAGCAGAAGATACAATCAGCGGATATATAGAAAATTCAGTAAAATAGTACTCTAGTCGTATACTAGACTTTAGGTCTGACACAAGTGCTACCAACCACTACACACCTGCCCGTTTAGCTACAACACAGCGTTTGAGTGTCTTTACCGATGCGCACTAGCTTTGTTCGGCGCTAGTTTGAGGTCAAAGGTGAAAGGGGTGATACAGTGAGGAAGTGTTGGCAAGGAGCTAAAACCATACAGGACATCTGTAACAGGTTCCCACGGCAGCCCGGACATACAGCCCATGAATTTTCCAAGACTAAGTGTATGTACTTCCATGGCTGTTATTCCCTCCTGTTGTTTTTTTTTTTTTCAAATGGCAAAGAGAACAGTTTGGTTTTCACTTGGCTGAAACCAATAAACTAGTTCCGTGAATTTATAAAAGTTGGAAAAACATTCTGCAATAATTCAGCGAAGTCATATAATAGTAAAATTCCACGATTTCCACTTCCCAACATCATAATTCCATGATATCCCAGGAATTCCATGACCAGCAGGAACACTGTCTGTAAGTAATTGCACTATGTGGGCCGGGACTGCAGCACTGAGCACTACTTCAACTCTAATAGAATATATATCGTAAGTATAAATAAAAGCAGAGCAAAAAAAAATCTTCATAACAAACAATACAACTTAAAAAAAAAAAAAATGGACAAGGGTGTTAGTGTTTGAAATCGTAACATGCTTGTGGTACAAATCTGCTCTTTGCTAGATTAGTGTCTAAGAGCTACGTGTGAATGCAGCCAAGTCACTGTGCATTCTCACTGCAGGCAACACAATCATCATGGTACCCTAATTAGCAGGGATAAGTGGCCAATGTGCACAGTGGTTTACAAAAAAAAAAGGTGGCCACAAATAGAACATTTTGCTACGACTGAACAATAAAAGCCACTGGATCTAGTTTATTCCCCTACTAATTACAATAGTTTTCTGCGTACCATAGCTCTTCATAGCAAGTGTAAAATCAGGAGGGGTTTGGCAAAAAGTTCAAAAGATTCGATCCTAGTCTGAAAGGAAAAGGGTGCACTTCTATTCAAGGAAAAAAAAAAGAAAACCCAAAAAACACCAGCACACAGGCGGTGAGATAATGTCTTAACAAGCCACTGAAGATGATTACAAGAACATAACGTGGTCGTTTTAAAGGATGGTGTCTCTTAAATCTAGACGTGGACGTCTGTAGTCATGGCAGTGTGGTCCTTCTTCAAAGTGATGATGAGGATGACTCATTCAGAACGGTGGCTGCTCTCGGTTGTGGCTTACCAGTTGTCTAGGAAATCGAATCCAGTCTTCAGGATGTTGCTGCTCGTGTTAAACTGAAAAGGAGAGAAAGAGGAAGACGGTGTTGAACACTGTCAGGGGCAGCAGATGTTGTACAGTGACGGGCTATTTATAACTGGTACTTGAAGACTTTTTTTTGTATTCTTGATACAGGACTTACACCATTCTTTATACGATGGATTTATCGGATTATGTTAATTGTATGGATTATTAACGTGATACCTGCCACCCCCCTCCATTGTTTGTGAGTATTTACTTGACTTGTGGGAAGGCTTTTGCACCCAACGTGTTTGTTGAGGTTCAGGTGAAATGTGGAATGTTTACACATTTGATTTGGCTTGTTTGGACTCATGTGAAAACTGTAAATCATACTTCAGTGCAGACTAAACACCCGGAAAGAGACTGAAAAGGTTGGTTTGGTTTTGTAGGCAACCGGACTGTGGTGAGGTTTGTTGGTGGCATGAAATGAAAACACATCAACCACAGGACTCTCTGACAGGTCATGTGTTATTTCAGCAAGAATTAAATAACCCAAGATATATCAAATCCACCTTCTGATTTTAAAGGATTGAAAAAAAAATCTGCATGTTTAAAATATATGTCGTTACTTTAACTCATTCAGTAACCATGGTAACATGTATGTCTACAGTGTGTAAATGTTGGGATTTTCCTGACCAGTTTAAAAGTGAATAGAGGTGAGTAAAGTTGGAGCCACTGATTCTGGCATTTGTAACAGCCAGCTCACTTGCATAGTGGTACATTGTACAAGAGATGCACTAGAAATTCATCTGCTCTCCCAGAAATAACACTTTTGTCCTCTTTTACTGAGAAATTTAAGGTAACTGTGTCAGAAGAGGACATAGTGAGTAAGACCAGTCAGTGTCTCAAAGAAGAACAAAGAAGAATTCAAACCAGAAACACATGTGAGGTGAACACAGCCCATCACCAGCCTCAGCTCTCATGTGGTATTTGTGTCGATGCCAAAGACCCAGCACTTAGTTACTTGGAACACATGACGTCAGCTTTCCTGCAACCTCTAAGCCTCACCATGCAGCCACCTATGATGTAGTCCTTAACCGTCTGAGCTCCAAACTGTTTCTGGGTGTTATTTGCTCCTGTCACATTTTTATTCACTGTGGGTTCATATCTCATGACAAATTAAAGTTCTGCACCTTTATAGAAACAGCACAACCATGGCTAATGACAAACTCAAAAATCATTCTGCATTTATTCTACTGCTCAACTATGTTTTCTCTCTCCGGTCGTCTCCTCTCTGCTCTGTGTAAACATAGTCTCACTTGGAAAGCTCATTCTGTAGAATATACTGGTCTGGCTTGCTTGTATTTCTTGAAAACAATCTCAGCCGTCTGGAGTGGCGCTAAGCAAAGGATGCAGCTTCGCTGTTCCCTCAAAATAGTGCCGGGTGGAATTGTTTTGGTGGAACATTTGCATGCAGAGAGGCAAGCACTGTGATTGAAATAGATAATACACAAAAAGAGGAAAAACACAAGCAGGGTTGCCTTTCTGCATGATCCAAATGGTCTACAATACTTTACATTTTCAGTGTGGAAGGTTGCTGCCTGAAAGTTGTTGTTCTTGTTTCCCATAGCAAAGAAAACGATAACATAGAGATAACAGTAGGGAAGAACAGAGCTGTCTGAAATGAGCAGCCAAAGGCAGGCTTACACCTGCATTATACATCTGATGAGTCAGACTAGTGTAAACACAGTCTGTAGCTCACACGAAAAGTTAAGTGTCACCCAAAATATTATGTCAGTCGATGCTGCAAAGCACTGCACAAGCTGCTGTCAGTATGTGAGTTTGATTTCCCTACATGTAACACTGGCTCTACAGAATGACAGTTACCTGCCAGTCGATATTATGCAATACTTACAGCTTTTGATTACTTTATATAAAGGCAGTGCGATTAAGAAATGCACCAAACCTAAAATATAACTATTTTTTAGTCTATTCTTGACATAACAAATGAAACCATGGATGTGGCTGAGACCTTTAGAAAGCCTGAACTGGGTCAAGAACCAGTGCTGTTGTGGGCATATATTAATCGTGAGCTAACAAATATTAAGAACACAATTTTAAAGCATGTTGCATTTCTAGTCACGCCATGATCCAATATGTCACAGAAAGGATTTGAATTAGCAGGCCTTTGACAATCTCTGCAGGTATATGGTATGGGATTTGAATTAATCACTGTTAGATTTCACAGCATGAGACGGTGCTCATATCACTGTGTAAATGGTCTGACTCCAAGCTCACCTGAGAAAAGGTGGGGCTGTTGTTGGATGAACCCTCTTCCTGCTTCTCTTTCTCCACGTTGGCAGAGAGGTTGGAAGGCTTGGACATCAGGCTGGAGGAGAACATCTCATCCAGGGTGTTGCTGACCGACGGCAGGGTGCTCTGAGATCTCTCCCAGCCCGCAACTGAAGAAGAGACGCTGACGGGTGGGGGTGGGTTCGGCGAGATGGAGATGGATGCCGGCGTCGCGCTAACAGCGGCTGGGATAGGAGGCTGTGGAGCAGGGGGCTTGGGTGCTCTTTGCTTGGTGGACCTGGCAGGAGGTGGAGGATGGGACTCCGGTGCCTCAGGTTCCTTGGAGGAGACCGAGGACTCCTGGAGAAAAATAATACAATTTTGTTGGCATTTTTAGTTTGATTGATGAGTTTAAAGTTACAAAAACAACCCTTGATGATGTTCAGAACAAACAATGACAAAGACACACATTTGTTGTAGTTTTATTTCTGCTTCTTGTATGAGGCTGGAAAGCTTTGTTGGCCAATGAGACTGTGTCGTCTTACGCCATGATAATATTAAAAGTGCAGAAAAGTAGAAAAGAAATAAGAGGAAAGTAGAACATTTAGAAACAAACCAGACATCTTTGTTTGCCTTTTTTTTCAAACTGCAAACTGGCTACATTCGCCATCTGCTTCTCTGACACTCATGGAGGCTTCACAGATGCCAGTTATCTCAGCTTCAGGCAACACTCTATTTCAGGATACACTGTGCGATAATGTAATATGTTGGGGTGGGAACTTGCTTTCCATCTGTTGTTTGTTCGAAATTATACCGACCAGAACTGTGATGTCTTTTGCCTCCGCATTCAACAGCAACCAACTAATAGCAACAACACCGTCTGGAGGCTGTTTCTACAATCGGAAATGACACCAAATGGTAATTAATAAGCGTAACGTGATGGTACTTTTTAGTGCTTACTTGTCGGAGATAGGAGGGAAGAGATTTCTCTCCTTTTTCTAGGGATTTGATCTGGCTGGGTGTCAGGGACTGGAAGTCAGCTTGCTCTCCCTCCAGCCTGGACCTCTCAGCGCTGATCTTCCAGAAAGACGACTCCTCCTCTGGCCGCCGTCCCTCGCTGACAGACACCTTGACAATCACACAACACTTAATTACCTTCTCCTAATACATACTGCTTCAGAATGTAAGAAAAGTAAAGATAGAAAGTACTGAGTGAGCCATTAAGTCTGGAAACACATACATCTAACAAGTATTTGGGGAGGAGCAGGGTTTTGTTATGAGAAAAAAATTGATCACAGACAAAGTCTATTTGGATTTAGTATTTCACATGAGACTGAAAAAGAATACCACATCTTCCTAAATATATAAAACAAATCAGCAAATGAGGGTTCTTAAATTTGCTTTGTTGCTTATAAAAAATCAGTGAACAGAAACTTTTGTTTTGACTAAAACACACAGCATTATTCATCTGGCTTCCATTAACGTACTGTTTAAAAACACACTGACATATCTGGCCATCAAAAAAAGGCAGCATCCACAAGATTACATGAAGTAGGTGACCCATATTTCTTCACTGTGATGTAAGTCCATCCCAGAGGCTCAAAGTTACCCAACAATGTTCTGTTATCAGTCCAAAGCTTGTTCCTCATAACAAGCTCCTATTATGTTTGAATCAGTCCTACTCAACTCTGCATCAGTCAGACTTTAAACTACAAATCCATTAACATACTGGATGAGTATTTTTTTCCCCACGTGAACCACTCACAGTCACCTCTGCACACTGAAGCCTTGTCATACCTTGGTTCCTGGTGTACTTTTGCCAAGCTGGCTGGAATGAGGAACCTTTGCAGCCTTCGAGTCGGCCTGTGAGACAGAGATCCCCTGGTCTGCAGAGCCTGATGTCAAGCTGAACTCCATCTGACTCTGAAAAAGATGATTCAAGTCAACAACAGTATGTAGACTGACCTCTGATTATAGATATTTTAGGGGCAACACAAACAAACAGAGTCATGACCTGAATGTATCATGTTTTTACCTTGGTCTCCCATGAGAAGGGCGCAGAGTGCTCATCTTGCCAGGTAATATCCTAAACAGACAAACGCATGTCGTAGTTACACACATACTGTACTCAGGACCTCAGATAAAATGTATGAGTATTTTTTAGTAAGTAAATAAACATGATAGTCTATTTTTAGTGCAAAATCACATGACGTCAATGTCTAACAAACGTCTAAACTAGCAAAATGCAGAAAGAAAGACATGAACCATCAGATATATACTCTATAAAGCTAATGTTTATATATATTATGGACAAATAATATTCTATTACAAATCTATTAACCTGAATTCTACTCATACATATATCATTTGTTGCTAGGTTACATACCAAATAGCAGCTGTGACGTTTACCAACATATTTTAGCGGCTACGTGGCTAATGTTAGCAACCATGACAGTACAGGCTATACTGCCCTCTAAACACAATAAAAAGCGAATAACAATCAACGCTGGTGTGGTCTAAGTACCTCTTCGCCGAAATGAACTATCTTCTGACCCGTCTGAATGAGCAGTTTGGGGTAACAGACCACTTCATCACGGTCTACTCTGTGCATAGCGTATCGGGCTCGGATATGAGGGTCCATCATCCAGTTGTCGATGGCGTTGTCTTGCTCTTGCGGCGTCATTTTCTCCCAGGACGAGCCGTGGTTGGCTTTGATTTTCTCCCGCTCCTGCATTATTTTCTTGGCCATGGAGTTGATGGAGGAGAAGTATTCGAACTTCTTTTCCTCCATCCTGTGGCCATCGAGCCCCACCATGGTTGCGGCGGCCATCTTTAACTGCTGCCAGCTGTTGTTATTGTGACAAAAAGGAAGCTGGTGCTCGGTGTGTGGGTGGTGGGCGGGGCCGCGCCGGTCTGTGTGTGCTCGGCGCCATCTTGTGGTGTCTTTTATTACAAGATTTTTTTTTCTTTTTTTTTTTCGTGGAACCATGCCTTGACTCCTTATACTGCACCACAGGTTGGTACTGATAAAAAAACAATATTTTAATTGTTAGACTGTATCTGTTGGTTTATTTCACCTCTCTTTGTCCGCCTCTCTGGGTTTTAAACTCGTCAATAACTGAAAATAGCCCCAATTTGTGCCCCTCTTGTGTTAGCCATGTAGCTAACCATAGTTTTTGCTAAAAATAAATTACGCAAGGATGTTAGAAAAACCCACAGAACACCTACCGTTGTTCTGAAAGTATTTCTTGAACGCTCCTGTTTCTAACGATATGGATAAAAAGATTTGACATGCATTCATTTATATATAAAAAATACTGCTTGCGTATTCAGGTACTTGTTGGCTTCCTTTTGGTGTGACCTTAATCTTTTCTTTAACAGAAAATTGGATTTCCTTGTCACACTTAATATTCAGCATATTTTATTTGGAATGTTTAATGTTCAAATTCCTAAAAAAAAAGGTATGTTATTAACTTTCTTATCTTGCTTGATAAATTACATATACATACCAGTAAATTTGCGAAACAGAAACCCAATTCTGTTGTGTTCAACTCTTAGCCTTATGGGAGCAATATGATTTGTAATTTTCTTTTTGTCATTCCTTTACTTGTGATCTTTTACTGTCTCTCTTCTCAAGCACATTTTGATTATTGTTGTACATTATTTTTATGTGGATAAAGTTTATTAAAAAAAAAAAAAAAAAAAGACCTGTTGGCTGCCATCCTTGTTGTAAAATAACTATTTGTGTCACCTAGTTAATGGAGTACTTATTCATCCAAATGGTTCTAAGAGAATTGTGGAGGCACTTTCAGAAGTACAGTCAGGACAAGCTTCTGTCAAAGGTTAGCTCTGTGACCTTAATGTATGCTAATAGGTGAGGGACACAGCTGGATCAGACATTGTGAGCCAGTAGGATGACCGATCCACTTCTGGCGTCCATCAAAGGTTCTCTGTGCATCTTTCAGAACCACTGGATGTCACTTGAGCACCTGCATCACAGAGCAAAACAGACGGGCATGTGGATGGACCCATGGACGGAGCAGACCTGTAAACAGAGACACAAAGACTGAAGCCGAACAGACAAAAGCAGAGAAGGAGAAGCAGAGGTGAGCCTCAAAACAGCAGTAGGGACTCTCACACTGAGCTGAAATGAAACTGCACATAAAGTAGGTCCATAACAATAAAATTCTTTGCTTTTTCATTTTTTTTTAGAGGTTTTTGGGGTCCCCTTCTAATTTGCTGTACTGCATTGTCCCTTTCGCAATGCAGTGCAGGAGGCTGTTCAGAGAACAGTGTTGTACTTTCCATGAGACGCTAGGGCCCGCTAGGGTCTGAGTGATGTAAATTTTGTTGTGATAGTCTATGCGACCATCTAGAGACATTTACGTGCAGCACAAAACTGGAAAAGTAGTACTGAAGCAACAGTGACATGTTCATGGTGTCCACAGTTGTCTGTATAAGTGAGAGTATTATCAAGGTTTCAGTCTGTTTATAAGTGCGAGGAGGGCCGACAGTTTCAAAAGAAGGGACTCAGATGCTCTAATGTGCACTGATATGTGTGGCTGTACCAGCTGCCAAAACATAGAACACAGAATTGCAATGCACACAGAGAGAGTGTGACTTCATTCTCTTCAAAGGAGGCCATCACTCCACTTTATCTTTTCAAAGCAGATAATTGTTTACTGCTATATTAATGCTTTAAATGCAAATTAACAGAAATCTCTAGTATGGGCAATCCCTGAGAAATTGCTGGTGTGATTGCTGAAAGAGGCTGCAGCCACTAGACACTGTACAGTTATGCACATGTACAGGAGGAACCGGTATCAAGCCTACAACCTTAAGATTAAAGGACAGCCCTTTTAAGCCAACGGAGCCACAACCAGCACAAGATGGCCATAGTGTTTCATTATGTTTCTCCATTGCTGATGTAAAGCTGAAGTACCAGCAGAAGGCGCTTAAGGACCGCAAATGAGTGCCACAGAACTTTCTTGCTTTGTTATTTGATCAGTTTAATTCAGATAAAATTTAAAACAGTATTTGATTACTCTTAAGAAAGTTCATGTAGAGACACAAAGCACATCGACTGGATACAGATTTCTTACTGACACTTGCAGTGAGTATGAACTCAACATTGTAATGGCAGCCATTAAGCACCAACCTCACACAGCTGTGTGAGTCACGCAGTCTCATTAAAGGGTCATTCTAACAGCACTTTTGCTAGCGTCTGGACTCAAGCACAGAACCCTCTGCATTCTTGAAATGACACCTCAGATGTAATAACACTGCCCACTGAGCTGTAACCACAGACTGCTAAACATAAAAACTCCACTTTAGTTAAAGAGAGACTGCATTTATATTAAGCTCAATGTTTTGTAGCTGTGGGTTTGGTATTTTTAGTCGGAGTTTCAGTTGCTGATACTGAAACTATACAGCATGTTTTTACACCCCCAAAAATGAAGGTAGATATTGCAAGTTGCATAACTGAGAGACTGGAGGGAAAGTCAGACTGTAGCTTTTATTGCAGAGAATGAGAGCTCAGCAGTGAGTGTACCATCAGTTAAGGTTTAAATTAAAAATACAAAATAATTACTTAAGTTAGATATTAACATTATGGGGAGGAAAAGACCCTTGTGATTACATTTTAATGCCAATTATGTGCTTATGGAGACAAATTTCTGTGTGTTTGAGCTGTTAAGAAGTTTTTTTCTGGTCCCCAACAACCACTGTTCCATTCTGGAGCTGGTCAAAAAAAAAATCCAGAAAAAGTTGCAAAACCCTTTTATTCTGAGGGCGAATATGCCCAAAAGTAAACCATTTTAGCAAATGGAAAATCATGCAGTGAACATCAAGGCCATGGGGGTATTTTAAGTGTATATGGGGTCTATAGTTGCATGCATGTCTCAACTCTCCGCAATCACACTTAGGACTGAAGATTCATGTTTGCAGCAGTCTTACTGATCGTGGATGAGTGTAAAGACAACAATAACGAGACAAACAGAGATGTGGTAGCTCTAAACTGCAAACATGGTTTAATAAACATACATGTTTTTGCAATGAATTTCTGAAGTTTACAATCCGGTGCAAACACAAAGCAGTAGTTATATTAACATAAAAACATAAATAAGCAAATTCCTTCTAGTTGACATATTTACACGTCCAAAAATCACGCCTGTAAAATTATCAATATCCATCCATCTATTATCTATACACCGCGTAATCCTCACTGGGGTTGCCGCGGGGGGCTGGAGCCTATCCCAGCTGACTTAGGGTGAAGGCAGGGGACACCGTGGACAGGTCACCAGTCTATCACAGGGCTACACTTAGAGACAGACAACCAAGCACACTCACATTCACACCTACGGACAATTTAGAATCACCAACATGTTTTTGGACTGTGTGGGAGGAACCTGGAGAACCTGGAGAACCTGGAGAGAACCCACACTGCACGGGGAGAACATACAAACTCCACGCAAAAAGACCCCAGGTGTCCTCACCGGGACGCAAACCGGCAACCTTCTTGCTGCGAGGCAATGGGGCTGACCACTGAGCCACCTTGCAGCCCAAATGATCAATATATCAAAAACAAACAAGCAAAAACAAAAAAGACATTGTAGAGTAGAACACGAACAGCACTTACAAACCAAAAAGCTTGGAGCGCTACAATGGCTATTAGCCAATTCAAACTGGATCACAGTCAAAAATATTTGCTATATGTCAAGTTATATCGTCAGTTCCCTTTGACATTCAGGTCACAGCAGATTGATGTCAAGTTTTACGCCACAATTATCAACCTGCCACTTGAGGGAACCAGTGTTCAAAACTGGCTCATGTAGTCGTACATACAAAACACAAAGCAAGAAACAAAATACAACTACAAAAACATACATTTGTCCTTAACACTTCGACTATTTGTAAATATATTACATCCAAATGTGGATAATTTAGGAAATTATAAGCATCTTATGAATAAGTAACTCTTGGCGTAATTTTACAAATGTGTACCATGGGCTCGTTCAGATTTACCCCTTTTTTGTTTACCTTCTTGTTTGTTAACAATGTGACTTCAAATTTTGCACATTGGACCGGAATGGAATTCCTCAGGCTATGCTGTGACTGGCATCATGGAGGCCATACTTCTCATTTTTCACCATGCTGTCACCGTTAATACGGGGGTGAATGGCAATAGCAGGCACTACTGTTTTAGACTTTCGTCTGGATGAGCGACAAAATGCCAGGTAGAAGATTTCTGCCACGTTGAGGACCAGAGAGATGCAGGACATAACCAGCATGAAGATGATGAAGATGGTTTTCTCAGTGGGTCGAGACATGTAGCACTCTACGGTGAAGGGACATGGGGCTCGGGAGCAGACGATTCTTGGGTCCATGACAAAGCCGTACAGGTAATACTGCCCCACAATGAATGCTATCTCCACAACGATTCTGAAAAATATGGAGGTCATGTAGTTTCCCAGCAGATTGCCTTTAATTTTGACATGGCCTTTCTCGTCAGTATATTTGGGATATTTGCTGATTTCGCTCTGGGAGTGTGTCTGGATATATTCTCTCAGCTTGTTCTCTTTGTGGATGACATGAATGACATGACCAAGGTAGATCAGCGTTGGCGTTGACACAAAGATAATCTGGAGGACCCAGAATCGAATGTGTGAGATTGGGAAGGCATGATCGTAGCAGACGTTCTTGCAACCAGGCTGTTTGGTGTTACAAATCATATTGGACTGTTCATCACCCCAAACCTGAAGGGATGAGAAATTGTTGTTATCATCAGAGCATTACAACAAATGGAGTTACTTTGATGAAGAGGTGTTATGTTTAGTTTATGCAGCAGCATGAATCTATATCGAGGTGTACTGAAGTATGTCTGTGTGAAAGTGTGAAACAACTAAATCATTATATATATGCGTGTGTGTGTGTGTGTGTACATCCTGCCGATGCAACCCAGAAAATTGGTGCACCGAGTGATGGATAAGCAGTTCTTATGTTAGGATGTCAAAGGGAAAGATTTTCAATAATTTGAAAGGTTCAGTACAATCATAGTAAATAATAATGGGATGATTAGTTGTCACATTGTATACACTATTACCAGAACAACATCTAAATTCTGGACCACAAGATGGTGTTGTTTCATCTGAAAGGCCTAAACTCACAAAATGACTCGAGTGGTGCATGAGTTGTGGTTAATGCTGCATAAAATAAACTGTGAAAAAGTAGAAAACCTTTTCTGCTCCAGCTCCGAGCACCATGATCCTGAAGATAAAAAGCACGCTGAGCCAGACCTTCCCAACAACAGTGGAGTGGGACTGGACCTTATTCAGCAAGGAGGACAGAAAACCCCAGTCTCCCATGGTTTCTGAAAGCAAATGGATATTTATTTTTTTTTTTACTTATATATAAGGCGCGGAAAAAAACCCCAAGCATATCTTATATCTTATCAATGTATGAACAACATGCAAAGTGAACTATGATTTTGTTGATCTGCAAATTTAAGACTCGAGGTTCGGACAAAATCACATTTTGTTTCTTATTTAGCTGTTACAAATGTTATCTTATTCACTATTTTCAGTTATTCATGTAAGCAGTGATCAAGGGGAAGCAAAACCCCAAATTTTTAATCGCGCTTGTCTTCAAAGTTAGCTATTGTCTGTGAAGTCTTAAGGAGGTTAAATTGTAATAACAAATATAGCAAAATAGTAGCAGCAACCTGGTGTCGCGTTTTAGGAGATCAGTAGTGAATGAGTCTCTTTTAATTCACTGCATATATCATTTATTTTTTTTAAAAATTGATTAATTAATTAATACATTTCATTTTAAAAATTAATATTATAGGTTTTATTATTTGTTATACCTGATGAACATGAATTGAAAAACACATTAACTACAGAAAATCTCTTGTTTCAGAGAGACACAATCAAGTGTTTTGAACCCCCTGATCTGTGTAATGCTCATAATGTGAAGCTATAAAGTCTCTGTGTTTGTTTAAATATTAGATAGAAGATGAATTTACATTCAGCACATGTTTGTATGTGCCTTTCAATATATTTTTGCTATGTGGTGAACAGCACCTTAGTTTGTTTACAGTATATCATGACCATACATCCCGGCATCATTTATTCCCATAAATTGTATGTAATACAGATGTTTATTTTCACAGTTTATTTGTCTGTACTCTTGCTTTGCTAACACACACATGCTGCAACATTTAAAATAGTCTATTAAGCTAGATATGTAAATATGCTCTCTATAAATTTATAAGTGCCTGCACCTTTGAGGCTAAGATTCCAGCATTAATACAATAAAATAAATTTAATGTAAGATGTAATTAATTAATCATTACAATTATTGTGCAGTAAAAACAACCAACATTTTTTAAGAAAGCCATTGCTTAGCTTACCTTTGAATCCAAAGTTCCTCTTCGAGACAAACAGACCGATCTCACCCGTTGAGTAAGTGAATGACAGAGAGCCTGGTGCGCCCAACTACAACTGTCTTTGATACCTTGAACTTTAGATTACATGGAAATTGTGCAACACTGCGAGCTGTCACGTTGTCATGACATCTGGAAATGATAAATCTCAAGTGGGCAAATTTGGGCTGAGCACTGAAAAGATTGTACGGGTTAATCATTGGCAGCATTTTCGACCACAATTCTCATGTTCATGATTAGTCTGCAGATGTTTTATGTTATTATTCTTTATTACCACCTTGTGATAAGTCAGAAACTACGCCCACTTTTTCATCTTTGTTTCATAGATATTTGTCAGTTATGTATCTACAACTTTTTATTATTTTTAGTGAAATAATAACAGAGTCAGGGAGTAAAGGGCATGGGCACAGTAGCATGAACCCCTGTGCTGAAATGCTTTTCAGCACAATACAATAGCACTGCAGTACCTCGTGAGGATTGAACAACCACGTTCATTTAAGACTGTGTCAACAAAAAGTCAGAACAAACTGAGCAAATCTCGTATTGTATGCTTTACAAAAGTACTTTTGTTGAATAGAAATATGTTGAGCAGGCCCTGCAGTTCTTATAGGTGTTATACATCCACTCAATATGTAACACTTTGTTTTCGTTCGTTTCTTAGATTGTTCCACTGATGTGAATGTCCTTCAAACTATTCTTAAATGTCTGATATCTGTTAATCTATCAGCCAAGTTATAGCAAGCCTGCAGTATTATAATCTTGAGTAATTAGTCAGTCACTAGAAAATTTACTGCCAACATTTTTAATAATTAATTAGTTATTTCTAAGCAACAATGGAAAGTTTTAGCTTCTCAAATAGTAATATTTTAGATCAGACAGATATGGAAACATCACTATGGACATTGGGAACTGAGATGGAGCTGATGAAGGAGAACTTGGTCATTTATAGACCAAATCATCATTTATTGTAGTAAATAGTCAGTAGGCTCAACAGTTATGAAAATTATCATTATTTGCAGCTTAAAGAATAAGTGAAAATGATATATTTTGAATGTAAGCTGTTTGATTGTGAAGAAAAAAGTGTAAACCTGTCATCTAAAGTTAACAGACTGATGAAGCAACATATTTTTGCCAACTTTAATCATTTATTAAAAACAATACAGCATACAAAACTGTCTGATCTACCCACATCAGTAGAAATAGACTTTTTACAACAATCACCTCATTGTTCAGTCGTACAATTATTTCAAGTCCTAGATAATGAACATGACAATAACTTAAAGAACACATTCAATGAAAGGGCATAAACACAATTCTGTTTTCCCAGAGATTTACAAGTGGGCATCTATAATATAAATACATCATCAGTATTGCACACTTTAATAGAGATTTTCCATTTAAAAATACAAACTGTAAGTACAAGCCCATCAATCTTTCACTGTATTGCCATTTTATGAAGACTTTTCTTTGCTCATAACATTGTTACACAATGACAAAGCTGTTCTTTTATGTTCTGACATGACGTGCGCTCCACCTTAGAACAGATCTTTAGTCTCTCAGATGTATGTATGAACAAGGAAACATGGGAAGAAAATCTGAAATACAAAAATACATTTAACTGGACACGAGTAGTATTTAATGACCACTCAGTAGTCGTTTCTCCTCTTTGGCTCCATCCAGGCTTCCACCGATACTGTGCCTGGTTTCGAGGTCCATGTTCATCTTGTTCTGCTTGAGTGCTTCTTCTGAAGTTGGCCACCTGGGTCCTGACAGGCCGGCAGGGTTTTCTGGAGAAGTAATTGGGTGGGCGTAAGACCTGGACTTACATCTGACCTTGGTGCAGATCAGGTAGAACATCTCAAGGAGGTTGAGGAACAGAGAAATGCAGGCCACCACCAGCATGAAGATAATGAAGATGGTTTTCTCTGTGGGCCGAGACATGTAGCACTCCACAGTGAAGGGACATGGCTTCTTGGAGCAGGGGAACATGGGAACCATGACGAAGCCATACAAGTAGTACTGTCCAACTATGAAGGCGGCCTCAATGATGATCTTGGCCACGATCTGAGTCAGGTAACTCCCCAGCAGGTTCCCCTTGATCGTCACCTTTCCCTTTTCGTCTGTGTATTTGGGCATTTTGATCATTTGGGACCCACCAGGGCTGGAAATCTTCTCCCTCAGCTTGTTCTCCTTGTGGATGATGTGCATGGCATGGCCCAGGTAGACCAATGTTGGTGTAGAGACGAAGATGATCTGGAGGACCCAAAAGCGAATGTGCGAGATGGGGAAGGTCCAATCGTAGCAGACGTTCTCACAACCAGGTTGCTGAGTGTTACATATGAAACCCGACTGTTCGTCGCCCCAGACGCTCTCAGCACCTGCACCCAGAACCATGATCCTGAACAGGAAGAGGACGCTCATCCAGATCTTCCCAATCACAGTGGAGTGGGACTGGACTTTTTCCAGCAAGGAGGACAGGAATCCCCAGTCTCCCATCTTTGTTTATGATGATCAGTTACTAATCTATGATGGAAGAAAAGAAGAAAAGAGGAAAGAGTCATATTATCAAATAGAACAAACTCCTAATTTTGTTTGCAGTGACTCTAAACCACACCTTATTAACTGAAACATTAACCACAACTTAATATTCAATCAATACACTGCTGGTGAAAGAAAAAAGCTCACTGTTCTCTAAATAAATATTATTTTCTATTCTTGAACTTGGTTGCTAGGGATAGAAGAAGACATCCTATTCTCCTGAACCTTGAGCTTTTTGGTAAATATTTTCTCAAATAATGACTAATCAGAATTTTGAACGGAGGACTCAATGGCATCATAAAATTGACACGTCGTAAAAGAAGGTTGGCATTGAGATAGCACTATGAAAGAAGAGATGAAATCGTTAAAAAAAGAAGAAATCATCACAGAGTGTAACTGTATGACTGAAAGCATACTTTAAACATATAAAAAGGTGATGTGTGGACAAAACTGGCTACGATAATATATTAAAACATCTGATGTGCCTATTACAAATGAAAAACTACCACTGAAAAGTTAACTAGAAATCAATCAAATTCTTTCAAAAAACATTTTAAAAAAACTTATTAAAAAGAACAAAATTGTAATATTTGACCCTATATTTCAATCTGTTTAACAAATTTTAATTCACAAAATAATCGGTTGCCGTAGCAGAGAAGAGAGAGCTTTGCATCTTACCTGCTGACCCGGTCAGAAAGAACTGTGCGTGGTAGGAACAGATCAGTGACTATACTCGGACCTTGGAGTTGTGCGCTACGTTACAACTGATGAGGTTAGTTGCGCAACACACATCTGGCTTAACTGTCACGTTGTGCCCGTCAGCAAATGAAGATCAGGGGTACAAGTGTGTAATAATTGACAGGTGTCCTGTGCAGAGGTGAAGCTCTGTTGCTGTTGGATGCCACTTGAAAATAAATAGGAAAGGTGTGGTAATCAGTAAGACAAGGATGACGAAAGGTACTGCCTTTATTTCCAAGTTATGCATATATTCGTCACTGTGTAAAAGGAGAACGTAGATAACCTTCAGCCCGATGCTTATTCATTTACTCTTCGCTGTGACTCACAAGAATATTCACAGTCTTCGAACCCATATCCTCAAGGATCACATCCAATAATCCAAAACCACCATATGTGGCTCAGTCTGTGGGTTTCAGGCATTGTTTAGATGTTTTACTGAAATCAACATTTTTACTTTTTCTTTTTAAAGGTTAAACCATTAACATACATCCTGTTAATTTGTGAGCTTTAGAGGTGCTTGTAGGTGGGTTTTTGTTATGTTCACACAGAGCGAGGCTGGATGGCAATTTGCTTTGCTTGTTTTTTTTTTTTGTTGTTGTTTTTAAATAAAGAAATATATATATATATTGCCATTTTTTATGAGGAAGAAATGCTTTCAGGACTATAAAAAAATGTTAAATGCAGCTTGTCAAAAGAAGGACCGAAGAATTTATTGAAATATTATTGAAATTGCAGTATGTCCAAGTTCAATGTCAAAACCACAGAAGCTGCACTTTATAGATGAAGGTAAAAGTGTCAGAGTATGTTGAAGCATTGTGCTGCTCCAGAGTGCTGTATATATTTCTAATGGCACGTCAGCAGCTGAACAGCTTAAAACTGCATGTCAAGTTATTCTCTAAAGACACTGTTTTGTATAGATTATGTCAATTGTGGCTTTATTTACACAGAAGTAGATTAATAGCACACATTATTAGTAAAAAAAATAAAAAAATACAGCGGTTCATCTTAGATAATGTGGAAAAAAAAAAGATAAAGAAAGGGAGAATTGTTTGGTAATCAAATCTGAATTCAAAACTGTTGTATAAAAATGACAAAAATCAACACAATATCAAAAATTAAACCTGATTTACAGTGTTTTAAAATGATTAATTCTATCAACTGCAAGACAACCCCTTTATTTCTTTTTTTTTGTTTTTCATACTTTGTCACAGTCGTCACCTGAAGTCATTTTAGGCAACATTTTGAGTGTGAACGAGTCCTGTTTACAGAAGCTGGCTGTTCCTGTCCCTCCCTCTTTATTTACCGTACACACACACAAACACACACACACACACACACACAAACACACAACCCTTTTCTCCCCAAAGCCAAAACACACAAATACTGGAACCACTAGAGAGAGGACACGTACAAGCTACCACTGCCCTCCTGCTTCAGATGTGGACCTCCCCTGTGCTGTTGTTTTCAGACGATATATTTTTAGCAACCTCACTGACCCCTCCCGTGATCCCGTTCACCCCTAACTTTCGTCCTTGCAGCTCCAGCTCCATGTTGACATAATTCTGGATCTTCTCGTCCCTGCTTTTGAAAGCTTTCTTTTCCGAAAGTGGAGGTGTCACAGGGGTCACGGTGTAGTCCTGCCTCCTTGCCAGGCACTCCTTCACAGCTTTCACAAACAGATAGAACAGCTCGACCAGGCTGAGGACGAGGGAGACGACTGCTGCCACCAGCATGAACCAGATGATGACCGACTTCTCTGTGGGCCTGGATAGGAAGCAGTCCACCTTGTGAGGGCAGGGGGAGCGGGCGCAGACGTAGCGGCTCTCCAGGGTGAAGCCGTACAGAAAGTACTGACCCCAGATGAACAAAACTTCCAGCGCAATCTTGGCCACGAGATGGAGGACGTAGCTGCGAAGGAGGCGGCCACGGATGCTGATGATGCCGTTGCTTTTGGTGTACTTGGGAACTTTGTAGGCCTTCCTGAGGAACAGAGTAGCTTGGTCGTCCACCTCTGCGTGCTTCTTCATCCTCTCTTTCATCTTGGATCAGAAGAACAAGAAGACAGAGTTAGATATTTTCCAGTTATCAGAAATAGACAGATTTCAAATTTAAAGGTAGTGGAGCTGAAAGCAACTTGATGAAAGAACCAATATGGAGGCAATTTTGGTTTTGGCAGTGTGAATCTCACGGCACCTATGAGACACACACTCAAACAGTTTTCCAGAACATGGCTTAACACTCATTGCCAGTTTCCTTGAAACTAGGAAGCACTGCTGGAAGTTGTGTTCTTATTCATGATCTGGCAAAAAAATATGAGCATGATATGTCAGGGCAACATTTCGATAAATAGCTTGTGAGTTGATGAAGCCAAAGAAGTAGTTTCAGATGTTTTTGTTCATAAACTTTTACTGCATGAAAAGTTGTTTTTGAAATTCTTTGAAATCAACTGACTTCAATCTAACCACATAGCCACTGTTCTTGATAAGGAAAGCCTTCAAACAGGAGTTTTGGCCATTTAAAAGACAGGATATGATGAGTGAAACACGTTTATAGATATAGTCATTTAATTCTGTCTGCAATTATATATGTTGGTTAAAACCTAGCTTTATTTATTTGTTGCATTAATCCAATCTAGGTTGGCTTATGACAAAAGACAGTACTGGGACCAAAGACATTATAGAATGCTGATATGCACTTTGATCCTCAGATTACTACTCTCACTACCACTCTACAGGTGTGTCAAGGCTGCCAAACCAAGTATTGATCAGCCATGCAATCACGCTACAGCGACACACCTTCTTTTCAGCGTGGAGCACATGAAGGACGTGACCGAGGTACAGCAGCTGTGGAGTCGCTATAGCGATAATCTGAAGAACCCAAAAGCGGACGTGGGAGATGGGGAAGGCGAGGTCGTAGCAGACGTTCTCACAGCCGGGCTGCTGAGTGTTGCACACAAAGTCAGACTGCTCATCTCCCCACACCTGGATGAGATCCCAGAGAAACAGATGAAGAGGAGATTATAAAAAAAAAAAACTCAAAAAATCCAGTGTTTCAAGTGTATGGTGAAGGATTTTTGTCGATTTGTAGCTTAACGTTTACATTACAGTTCAGTGGTCCAGTGCCAGCATTTCTACATGACCTTCTTTCACCACTTATTGGACATTTGGGACATTCTCAATTCAGACACCTGTTGATATTCGCTCCATACCCAAACTTTCTATTGTTGAATCTCAAGGAAATGATCAATTAATGAATTCCTGACTGACAGTAATATCTTTTAATCAGGCTTTAGATCAGATCACCATAACAGCAGCTACTGTATATTTTTTTTAAACAAAGAGCATTACCCTAATTGCATGATCTAATGTTGGTTATAAATGCCATGAAAGCCAAATTCATAACTCTGGAGCTCACTCCCACATCTTGGATATTGGCAGCGTTTATACTTTAGGTGGGACTTCACTAAATATGTTTCTTGCTACAAGTATTTGGATACATGGTGGATAAAAGGCTATCTTTTAGGGCACATATTGGAGCCTGTTTTTTACTATTGAAATAGTTTAGCAGGGATTTGTATGCATGCTGCTCTGCGTTTTATTTCCAATTTATTTCCCAGTAGACATCACCGTGTACATCATGATCTGGTTTCTTGGCCTTCACAAGTTCTAAGGAGACAACAGCACTGATATATTTTTATTCATGGAGCAATATTGTATTGGGTTACTTCTTGCATGTGCAACTTTAAAAAAAAAAAAATCTCATGTAACAGCTGTTAGAACTAAACAGCTGCGGTACAAGGTGTCCAGGATTTGCTCTTAACTTGGTATAACAAGCTTCTCCTATTTTGCTCCCTGGTCCTGGAATAATCTTCAGAACACACTGCAGATGTTCTGATTTCATCTCCCAGGAAGAGCTCAAAGCTCTGATCAGAAGATGGGTAACTGAAGAGTGCAGTTTCTGAACTGTATTTCATTATTTATAACTTAATAATCTTATCTCAAAGGACTGTCTGGTTAAATACATATAATATTATGCTCCTATGACACTAGTACACACATTTGTTTTCTACATCCCAGATGGTCCTGAGCAACACAGAAATGTGAGAGTGAATTCATGAGCAGACCTTCTCAGCACCAGTGTGCAGGACCATGATGCGGAAGACGAACAGCACGGTGAGCCAGACCTTGCCGATCACTGTGGAGTTGCTCTGCACTTTATCCAGCAGGCGGCTCAGCACGTCCCACTCACCCATTTTAGCCCTCAGTTATCCTGCTTCCTGTTTGGAGATGTAATGAAAATAAACCATAATGGCCTTCAGATAGACAGTGAAGTGCAATACAGTGATCTCTGCAGGGAAACTGCATTATTAGAGAAGTATATGACTCTTGTATATAATATTTTCAAAAGTAAATTGTAGTTTACTTTTCTTTTTCAGCAGTTGGGCTATGTTGAATTAAAAAGTAAGACCCAAAGGTGATTTGTCGGTTGTACAAGTCAGACTCCCTCACAAGGACAAACTTTTATCATCGCTCGCAGTCTTGTGACGTCGCAGATAGAAGTCACAGCTGCTGATTTCAAGTCACCAAAACACACTTATCTGCTGGATGCCAAAACCTTCACCTTTATTAATACCAACTGTTGCAAATCTTTAATTAAAGAATGCCAGACACTGAAGTCAGTGACTCATGCACAAATACAGATCGACCTGCCCGAGTAGATAAGGCCTGTATCAACTTGGGTTTTGAATCAGTTAGAAAGTTCCATTTCACGGAGTTCCTTTTCGTTAATTCTCCATTCGATTGCCTCAGATCGCAGTGTTTTTGCTTGGATTTATGCATGACTAATATTCGATTGGTAGCTGTTAGACAGTTCAATGTTTAATTGATCTTAGGAAGCCACTTGGTGCAACTTTCCAATCCTTATTCCTACACAGTCTCTTGTAGCTGCATTCATTAATATACAAATAGCATATGCATTTACCCTAATACAGTGATATAAATATATCTTGACCTATAACAGACATATTCCATATAACTACATATCCTCATTTTTCAAGTGCATATACATGATGCAACCTTTTTGACAGTAAAATCAGAGAGAAAATCAACTTACCAGATGATCAAACTATAGAAAATGATGAAAGGTGGGTGAAGAGAGCAATGCCTTCAGAGGACGATGAAGCAAGAAAGTGAAGAAGAAGTTGTCCTTGTTTTATTGTTCATGTGGCGACTTATCTGGAAGGACACCATCCAAACCACAACAACAAACCCCCAGTCCTGAACGTGAGTGGCTGGTAACAGAAAAAACTGTGCTGAAGTTTAACCAACCGTCTTCTTTCCTTTCCCTTGTTTATTATATTTTGCTTCTGTGGCATTTCTGCTTCAGAGAAAAGAGACGGTGGGCAGAAAGAAGAGGGTCACTTATTTCTTGTTTCTTATATAGATGGGAAATAAAAGAAAAGCCAGTGAAGTATTTAAATATGTGTTTTGTGTTTATGTCATCAAGGGACCAAATTGTTTTTTCAGGGTCAATACTGAAATTATTAATAATCAAGGAGATCAATGAAAAATGTGAAAATCTGAATCAAAAATTCAAAACAAGAACTTCAACATTAAACTTAAGTGTAGTACGTTTGTTTATGCTACATCTTTTTAATTAAAAGTGAACTTTTGAAACATTTATCCTTCAGTGTTGATAGTGCTGCCTCTTGGCCAGGTCGTTACTGGAAATGAGAATCTGTTCTCAATTAACCTACCTGGTTAAATAAAGGAAAAATAAATAAAAATAAAATAAAATAGGCTATTACAGGTGATGTGTGACCAATCAGCTGGTGCTGTGGGCGGGACAATGCTACAGACAGACATCCTGATAACTGGAGACCTCTAATCAGCCTCATGTTGATTTTCCCGTTCAGTTTATTCTTTTATGTTTGCATTGTTTCTTGTATGAAACTTATTGCTGTTATTTATAGTATATTGTCTTTAATTAATGTTGAACTTCTATTGAACTATTGTAGCTTGTGGTAGTTTGTCCTTGTTTGCTATTATTCTTTACAGTCTTTACAGTTTCTGTTTCAAATGGATGTAATTATTTTAATGTTTATTTTTATTGTTTAGTTTTTAAACAATATTTCCTTAAAGGAGGAGTGTTTCACAGATTCTGGCGTCATATTTAAATCCCAACAAAGCAGCCGGGTTTCGTCTTATTTAATGGCAAACTGCAGCTCACGTGTGTTGGTGAGGTTTACCGACAGTCTCTGACCTGGCTCATCTGAGGGGTCACAGGTGGAACTCTGGCTGCCAGCAGTGTCTGTTCATAGATGTAAATGATTAACAACCTCCTGAGGAGAAAAACAAAGCGTGCCTGGCCTTCAACATATAGATCAAAGTCAGCGTATCACGTCATTTGCTGTAAACTAAAACAGCCTCAGTCAGAAATGTATTGCAGCTTTTAAGACAATGTACCTGAGCCAGTTAGATAACATACATAGGTAATATACAGTAGTGCTTTAAAGTTGGCGAACCCTTCAGAATATTAGCTATATCTTCATAAACTGACCTAAAACATCGTCAGGTAGGTAAAGAGAACCCAGGTAAACACTTGAACTAAACATTTCGGCTCGAGGAGTTGTAGCTCATTCCTCTTTGGAGAACAGCTTCAACTCTGGGAAGTTGTTGGGTTTTCTCACATGAACTGCTCACTCAGGCCCTTCCACAGCATTTCTACTGGATTAAGATCTGGACTTTAACTTGCTCATTCCAAAACATTACCTTAGTTCTTCTTTAACCCATTTCTGGTAGAACAATGTTCGTGCTCTGCAGGTCATAATCCTGCATCATGACCCACTTTATCTGGAGGTTCAGTCAATAGACAGATGCTCTGACATTCACTGGTATTTACTAGAATTCATTGTTTAATCAATGATAGGAAGCTCTCTTGGCCCAGATGCAGCAAAAACAGGTCCACACCATGATACTACCACCACCATGCTTCACTGATGGGGTAAGATTCTTATGCTGGAGTGCAGCAGTGAGTGTTTTCCTTTCTCCAAACATAATGCTTCTCATTTGGACCAAAACGTTTCTGTTGTTATCTGATCTGTCCATAAACTCTTTTCCAGTAGTATTCTGGCTTGTCCATATGATGTTTAGTAAACTGCAGACAGGTAATTTGAGAGGCCTGTAGCTTCCTAGAAGTCACCCTGGGTTCACACACCTTGCTCTTGGGATGATCTCTGTTGGTCATTAACTACAGTCTGTCTGACTGTGGATTTAGAGATTATTTTGTAACCTTTTCTAGCCTGATGAGCATCAGCAACTTTGTTTCTGTTACTTTTCTTCAGACTTTGATAGATCCCTTCTATATAATCAATAATAACAATAATACTACAGGGTGCCCCCTCTCACTTGATTGTTATCCCTCTGATTGAAAACAATATTTTGAAGTATTTTTGCCGCATTTAACTAATCGTGTACTCTCTTAATTTATTTTTAGTACTTGTGTGAAAACATTATGGTAGAAGGTAGAAACTTTCAAGCCCCACTGTAATGTAGTCAAATAAACAGGACAGTAATGTGGGAATAGAACAAGAGTTTTATTGGTTTAATTGTGTGATACGATGACACATACAGCAGATGTAATATGTTTATATATTGTACTGTATATTTGAGTAATCACTTAACACAATACACCTCAAACTGTTCAAATTCTACACACAAGCATTATTTTAGAACAAAATATACAATGATCTCACTCTTCACTGCATTTTGACTTCCCTCCAGGAGATGCTTGCTGCTCCATAACCAGGCCCCCTTTTACCTTAAAGACATGCTCCACCCCTACACCCCTTCATGTACCTCTGCTAATTCCAACCTCTTGATCGTCCCCAGGACCAAGCACAGAACCTGGGGGGGATAGGGCCTTCTCTGTCGCTGCCCCCACCCTCTGGAACTCTCTCCCACAATATATTCGTGACACCACAGACCCAGCAATATTCAAATCTAAATTAAAAACTCAACTGTTCTGCTCTGCTTTTCCCACCTTGGTCCTTATCTTGATATTTAGTGTTGTTTTTATCTGCTTGCTGTATTTCTATGTTGTCTCCTTTTGTATTAGTTGCTTATTGTTTATTGCTTTTATTCTGTGAAGCACCTTTGAGTTCTTGAAAAGTGCTATATAAATAAAATGAATTATTATTATTATTGATTCTCCTATTGAGCGATGGCACCACATTCACCTAAAGCTTTCACTCTTCATCCACCCTCACACATTCATTTGCCTGTAAACACTCTTTGTTTCAGAACGTATAATACCCCCCTGGCACACGTTGCTATCTGAACTCTATATTTGATTAGACCAGCAAACCAAATCAACTAAAGACATAATTATAGTGCAACAATATGATCAGATCTACAGCTGCTCTTTCAGGGTATGTGTTACAAAGGTTTCTTTTTCATCTTCAGTGAATATAGTTCTTATTTGGAGAATGTTCATAAATTTTACATTTCTGTTGCATAATTCAGCTTTTTCACACTAGCTATAAAATTAGAGGCTTTTCAAAAGAAAAATGTTATCAGTCTGTTTTTGCACCTTTACATGGTGTAATTTATTTATTTATTTTTTGGGCAAATACCACTTGTTCTGTGTGTGTGTCATTGTGTCTGATGGGTTTGGTCAGAGCTGGTAAAACAGTTACAGCCTGAATATAGAGTGTGTGTTTGTTCACTGTGAACATCAGAGCTTCTTGAAATTTTCCTTTTGTTTTCGAGTCAGATCACGCAGACTGCAGGTTAATAGGAGATCAGAGGAACCCACTTGGTGGCAAAATATAATACCAGAGGTCAGACTAAAGTGTTAATTGCTTTTTACTCGTCTGTTTTGATTCAGCTTATCTTTACGGCTGCAAACTGCTGTATCATTGTTTGGCTTTTGATCTCACTTGCATTTGTACGCTGTTCTGCATAATAACTGTTTTGGTGTGAAACTTTTTTTCAACATATTAAAAAATAAAATAGGTATACATTCAGTTTTATTGCAAATGGAGCAGGCTTTTGAGATCCACGATCCAAAGACTAACACTGCGCAAAGGCTCGTGCTAAACAGTGTTCACACAACAAAATTAGATCAAATAATCCAGTAGTAATCAAAAGTTTTCAGTCTTAACTCAAACTCATGTCTAGCCACCATCAAGAAATATATTAGTGGATTGTTAAGATTTGTGTAGTCAATTCAGGATGTCAAAGGTTTGTCAGACCCGAACCCAGTAATACAGGAGTAACAGATTCAAGCAAACTCCTTGGCAGGTCCCCTAGAAAACTGACACCAAACAAACAAAAGGAATCGCTTAACTACCAACCTCAACAGAGCGCGAGAGTGGAACATATTTCAACTACTGGCAGAAGAAGCTGAAACTCAACATGACTCCTGTAACAACAAGATCCAGCAGCTGGGTTAAGCTCTTAGCTTGAACTGATGAACACACGGGATCTGAGAACCCACATCCATTCTGGGATACAGCGCATCAGTCCGTACTGTGAAGAAAAAAAGAGCAGAGAGAAACAAATCATAACACAGACATTTATTTTATGCTTCAGACTCTGTTTTCAGAAAAGGTATCAGAGATGATGCAACTGTGAGCAATACACTCTCGACAACAAAATTTCATTTTCTTGTCTCAAACTTTCTGTGAAGATTGAAAACTGACAGCGTAACTTGATTTGTACCGACCTGCAGGGTATGAGGCCAGTAGCCGGTGGTCCTATTAGAAACGCCCAGAGTGGAGATGGCGTGGTGAGCGTAAACCTCCGGCTTTGGTGAAAACCAGCCTTCGCTTGATGATGATGAGGATGAGGATGATGATGGTTGTTGCCTGCTTGAGGCAATCTGAAGTGATATATACACACAAGAAGAGTGAGTTGACTGATCTTCTCATATTAATAAGCTTTAGTTATTGCATAGAACATATTTGACACAAGCAGACTGTGTGTTTTGCAAATGGTGTAGAGCAGCAGTGTCAACAACAAAAGTTAAGTTAAAAAAATAAATAAAGTTATGAGACAAACAGTTTTGTCATACTGTCAAACAGAAAGCATTTTATATAAATGAAAAAAGAAGCCAAAGTTCATGTTGCATGTTGTTCCAATACTTAAAATTTGTGTGAATAAAAGTCTATAAATGGCAACATTTTCATTAACACCAGCAACTAGACAACTGAAGAAAGTCAACAAGATGAAGAATCTGACCAAGTACTCTTCAGTACCAAAACAGGGACTGAGGTCAAATATGCAGCACTTATTGTTATGGGCCATGGCAGATTATTACCTGGAAAGGGATCAGACTCTGAATGAAGATCCCTTTGCCGCCGTACTCGAGGTGAAGGGCTCTTGAGAAATGATCCAGGTATCCCTGAAATGTCAGAGGAAAGGTTATTACTGTCAGGATGAAATAATGTGTTTGTAATATTATGACTGTTCTTAACAGACAAAAGATGAAAAAAAGTCCTCAAACAAGAGGAATGCAATTTGAGTTGTTTTGTTAACTAAGAAACATGATCTACAAACTCCAGCTGAATTTCACTTTGAAAAGTAAAGTGCTTCGAGGAGATAGTAGCAATAATAGATCTTTTTTTTTTGTTTTTTTTTTAATCGATAAGAGCCATCAGTTGGCTCTTCAACCAATAAAAAAAAACATCCGCTGTGAAAAAGGTCTATAGAGGCTATAGATGTGTTTCTTGGTGTGTGTCCAGGCTTGCAGATTTTAGCAGTGTTTTGTCTCACAGTGGAGGCGGTGAGTGTCACTCTTCCAGGCAGGGGTCTGCAGCAGGCACCCGATGATATATTGACCACAGCGCCTCTACTGCGCTCCACCATCCCCGGCAGGACCAACCGGGTCATCAGAGTAGCAACTGCAACGTTCCTATTCACCAAATCCAACATTCCCTGCTCAGGCATTTCAATCAGGCTCTGGGGTGAAGCCAAAGACTCATCCACACAGTTCACCAGGAAGCCGATATCTTTGCCCCTCATGGCTTCTTTGATGGGCTTGCTGGCCGCTTGGTCCAGCAAGAAGTCAGCTAAGACAACAACAGTTTCCACTCCGTAGCTCTGGGAGAGGGATGCAGCGGTGTCTCTAACAGATGTGTGGTCCTGAGTGACAAAGATGATGCTGATACCGTGTCTGGCCAGCTCCTCTGCATACGCTTTGGCTACAGGCTCTGTTGCACCTGACAAGAAAGAGGACAATACTTATCAGTCAAAGTCGAGTAAGAAAGAACAAAATACTGAAAGTTTCTGCAAAGTATCATCACTATGGCCTTTAAAGATTAAACAAAGTTTCAGTTTATGATGAAACAGTAATCTGATTCGCAGAGCTGCAACTAATAACTAATCAGTTGTTGACTTAAATTATTTATGAACTGTTTTTGATAATTGGTTGAGCAATGTCAAAGTTAAAAGAAGTCTAAATTATCTGGTTTCAGCTTCTTAAATGTGAATATTTTCAGATTTATTTACTCCTCTGACCATAAGCTTAATATTATTGGGTTCTTGACAAAACGAAACATTTGAAGATGTCATCTTGGGCTTTTGATCTCCATTTTTCACCACTGTCTTACATTTCAGAGCCCAAACAATTGATGACATAATCAACAGATATATCAACAACAATGACAATATTAGTTACCTGCAGCCCTATTAATTAGGCAATGAAATTCATCCACATTAACAACTTGTGTGCCTCAGAATGCCACAATACTCTGCAGTACCAATATTTTTTTTAGGCTGTTACAGAGTGGAAGCAATAATCAACTGACAGAAAACTGATGAGAAACAACTGTGATAACTGACTACTAACTAACTGACTGATCATTTAAGTCACTTAGAAAACAGATGATGTCTTTCAATTCCTGGGTCCAGCCTCTCAAATGTGTGCATTCGCTCCTATTCTGTGTTTAACAACAGTGTGAATCAAATATCTTAAAAACATCAGCGTGGGCAGTGAAATTGTGAAGGATATTTTGCATTGTTTACTGACTGAATTTGATTTCACAGTTTTAATATTCTTACTTCAATATCCATTTTTTTGTTTGTTTTATTACTTCACTTCTCTTCTGACTGCAATTATAGCAGTTACATTTGGTCTGGGCAAAACTATCCTTCATACTGGTTTTCCCATCAGTCTCACAGACTGACATCAGGGATCATGAGGTATTTCTGCTGTGATCACCTGCTTCTTACCATAAATGACAGCCCAGTCGCCATATCTTTGCCTCAGCTTCTTACTTGGGATCATTCTCGGCAGGAAATGCACCCTGACCAACGTGCAGCAGTCCCTCAGCAGGATTACTACCTTGCTAGCCGTGTACAAAGCCCCGATCAGGGCCAGGGTCTCAAAGTAAAAGCTGCACGACCGAGAAATTTCTCTGTACAGGAGCGAAAAGCTGTCAACTGCCGCCATAGCCGACACTGCTGATGCTGATGCTAGCTTGCTAGCTGAAGCGCATTCAGTGGATACAACGTTGTAGTTTCTCGATGTGACGTCAACTAGCAAGTAAAAACTTGTGAATAAAACATTTCGCTGTTTCTACATAGTAAATTTCTAGTAAAAATGTAATATTTCAGCAGGTTTCCAGCGAGCAGTGGTGTACCCTCAACAGCACCCGGCAAAACGAGCAAAACACAGGGTCACGTGACAATGCACATCAGCGGTGCTACATTCAAAGCCCCTCAAAAAATCCGCATGAATAATCTTAAGTTAAATATATGCATTTTAGAAATATTGAGAGTTCTCATTTTGAAATTAAATGCAATGAAAGGGTGAAGGAATCAACTGGTTTCCCAACATTACTTCCAATCTCGTCACATCAGTCTTTGAGTTATCCTTATTATCTACATCATAGATGTGGAATCCTCAATTCCGATAAATTTGAAGCCACCATGTAGATTCTTTGGATATCCCACAATGCACCGCAGTTGACAGTACGTTTCCATAGAGACACAGCTGTCGTCGGTCAGTGCTCCCACAATGCTACCTGGATGAACAGCTTTTGCTAGTACAAAAACAAGGTGACTGGTTTATAATATACTGGACACGATGCCTTTTTAGTGCGGCTAGTTGGTCTGTGAGGCGCAGGGGTTTTTGTTTTTCCGCTCAGCCGTGGTTTCAGCTAAATTTGACCAGTTTTACCTTTAGCTAGCTGTGTTTCAGTGATGGCAGCATCAAGCTAGCCAGAGAAAGCACACATTTAGTTGGGTTTGCCTCCAGAGTAAGAACGTTTCCCTGTATAGCAGAAATAAAGTAATTCATGCATTTAGATATTTATTTGGGATACGTCTGTATTCGCCGTTTTAGGTTTTCAAAACGCCTGTTTTACCACAGTGGTACACTTGTTGGTGATTGACACTTGACTGAGTGACAGAACTGAAAGAGGCATAACCAAAACCTCATGCGCATTTGACTGCCTGGGGATGAAAACAGAGCCTGAGCTGTTGCTGTTTTGCATCCAGCTTTCCTTTTTGTCTTTAGCTAAGGGTAATGTTTGGTGTTTTCCTTTTTAAATGCAGAACAAACTGAGACAATCAGTTTGCAAACTGCTGCATGTTAGGGCTGCACATTATTGCACAAAACTGATTCTGCAATACTTTGTTTTTCTGCTACATGTATTGCAATATGAAAAAATACAGGAATCTTCACCTACCTGATGACCTTACCTTGCAAGAATTACTCATACTGTAATGACTGGGGTGACTTTGTAGGAGAGAGCATCTGCAAAAAGTAAAAGAGTAATATATATATATATATATGTATATATATATTTTTATGTCAATTGGAAGCTTCTTGTATAGTGTAACATTGCTAAAGGCATCCAAAATAGTTTTTAGCTTTTAATTGCATTCAGATCCGACTTTGCATTCATCATACAGAGCTTTGTGGTGCTGTCACAACCTGGCAGTTTAAATGGTCTAATAAAATCAGTTGTGTGTCCGTGTGTTGTGGCAACAATTGCAAGATGCTGGCAACAGAGTACCTGCTTGACTTTACACTGACTTGCAAGTTGTGCTTTTTTAAAATATCTTTTAATCCTTTAAAATTTTTTACAGCTGCACAATGTTTTATGATGTGCACCAAAACACCACATCAGATTCCTTGTATGGGAAAACCTGCTTGACAATAGAACAGATTCTGATTTTGGTCAACATAATTCTTTCTGTTGCAGAAATATTTACATGCAACTGATGTTCCGTACAATGCGGCAACAAAACCTTACTTTTCAGTGATTCTCTTCTGTTCCTCGCTCATTTTACTGTGCACACAAAGAACCCACATGTCAACAAACTGTCGCTTGTGAATAAAGTAAAAAAAAAAAAGTCAATATGATGGTGAAGTGAAATAACAATATTTCTTGCACAGTAAGTTGTTTAATTAAAAAAAAAAAAAAAAAAAGGCTGGACAGACAAGGAAACTCAAATGCACATCTTCTTAACTGAACTGAAGTAATTTGTTATTTCTGGTTGTTAACTCTTTGTAGCTTGCATCCTACCTGAACTACCTGAACTACACAGGGACATGACTCCTTGTCTCCCTACTTTTTTGTACTTCAAGCCTAGGAAACCCATCAACTAACAGCAGAGATGTCTCAGTTGTCATCTGAAGATGAGTTGGAGTTACAGTCCCTCCTCAAGCAGCTCCTGCGAAGCATCAATGACAAAATTTCGGGTGCGCCGTCAACTGAATGTGCTGAAGAGATCCTCCTTCACCTGGAGGAGACTGATAAGAACTTCCACAAGTAAGGCCACAATCCACTGCATTACCTTTAGATGTCTGGTTTTAAAGAAATTTAGACTTTCTTATGTCTCTTTAGGTATGTGTTCCGTGTATTATTCAAATTTGTACATACAGTAGGTGTGATTTGATTACTTCTCTCGATTCAGTTATGAGTTTGTCAAGTACCTGCGTCAGTATGTGGAGAGCTCTCTGGGAAATGTGGTGGAAGAGGAGACAAAGAACTTGAGCAGAGGAGATGGGCAACATGCAATCGGCTCAGGACATGACACCCTGATTCACGCCGTGACCCGAAGGACCAGAGACTCAGCTGAGTGAGTGCAGCTTGGAGTTTTATTTCCTGCAAATCTTTATGTCCAGTTACAAATTAACAGTGTTTTTATTTAATTTTAGTATGTAATGTAATTTTAGTACATAGCGACGATAGTAATGGGCTTTTTTATTATGTTGATAAGGCTTGAACTCCTTCTTTGTTACCTTCATGCTGACTTCCAGAGAAGTCAGAAGGGTGGAGAACTCCACCTCCTTATGAGAAAAATGCACCTGAGTCAGTATTTAAAGTATAAAACTGCAGCATTTCTCAGGTGTTTCTGAAGTATTTACTGCTTCTGTAATCAAAAACTAACTCATACCACCCAGTGTCATTGACTTACCTTCACCTGTTGATTGAGAGACTGTTTTTTTTTTTACCTGGGCAAAGAAAATCTAAGTTGCATGCACAGTATGTGTCTCTCTTTTTGTCCTTGTTGGAAAATCACAATGACACCAGTTCAGAACTACAAAGTGAGGATTTTCCCGCTTTCAGCAGTAAACCTTTTATTTCAGTAGGATATGTGGACCTTGAAATAGTAGGTAGGTTTGCTTTGAATCATGCAGTCACACAAAAGATAAAACAGACCAAATTTTTTAGAATGGATTTAGCTGAATGATACTGAAAGTAACATCAGCCATACGCTGATTTTCTTTATCTGCATGTAACAGCTATCAGCAGATGATGCAGACTTTGAAAAACACCATGATCATGGTCGTGGAGTCTTTAATCAACAAAATCGAGGAGGACCAGCTGAGGAAGGAGGAGATGCACCGAGAGAAGCAGCACAGTCAGTCCAACAGCCAGTACACCGATAACTGCTCTGACAGCGACTCCTCCTTCAACCAGGTCAGACACACAGCAGATGCAATCTCGGGGCAATAAATGGTTGCAATTTATTTATTCATCACCACTTTAAAAATAGTCGATGACTCATGTGGAGTGCCAAGATTGTATCTGAGTTGTCTGGATGGCACTGGTTGTAAAAGTTGTTCGTCTCAACGGAAGACTGAATGTAGGTTAAAGCTAATGGTAGATTCGTACAGTGACCTCTGAAAATGCCAGTGTCCTCCTATCAGGCAATAAGAGCTATTTTTGAATTTTGGGTTATGGTGGACCGTAATTATTTTTGTTTCGTGTCCTCTTTTCTTTTCAGAGTTATGCATTTATCAGACAAGAGCAGCTGCAAGTTTTGGCTGAAAAACTTGAGTCCAGCAAACCGAAAGAGGTAGAAAAAGCAACTTAGATATAGACATTGTGATGAGTTCATTGCTGCTTTATTTGTGTTTTTGTCAGTACATTGGAGGATTTTGTGCCATGGATTTGTGGTTTCCAGTCAGCGCGGCGCATCCCATACAAGACGTTGCAAGATAAATCTGAGGGGTTGTGAGATGATTAACAGGACAGGAAAAATAAATGATGTTTATTTTATCTTTGGCATCTTCTCTTAGTCTTATAATCAGAATGAATTATCATTTGAGGTATGTATTTTGACATTATGTTCATGTCAGTCCTTTCGTGTTGGAAACAGGGGTGGTAATTCAGTTAAAAAACAAACAAACAAAAAAATCTGTTTAACCAGTATTGGGTGACACATCCACCCCAAGGTGACATGGATGCTGTGCTTGTTAGGAGAAATTGCTGTAATATTTCTCATGAGCATCAAAGAAATGTTGATTATAGTTTGATCAGTTCTTTAAGTGAATTTACAACAGTGTCAGTTTCATTTATGTTTAGACCTTTTTTGATGCTGTTTTTCATGGATTCAGCTTGTAGCCAGCTCGCTATAAAATAAGATATTGTCCCCATTTTGAACCTTGCCTACTGCTGGTGGAATCAGCCATCATTGAGCACAACACCAGACGGAATCACTGAACAAATCAGACATGTAAGAGGTGATTCTGCCAATGATGAGGGGTTGCAACTGGGCATTACTTTGTTTAGAGGGGTCACCAGCTACACAGGTTAAGAACCACTGCATCAGATGTGACTGTGATCACCAGTGTGGGCCAGGTGACTAGTGTAAGTCTGTGCGTAGGTGCGTTGGGAGGCTCTGCAGGCGCTCTGCTGTGCGCCTCCATCTGATGTCCTGAGCTGTGAGAGCTGGAGCAGCCTGCGCAGGAACCTCTGTGTGGCTCTGACCGAACCCGACCCCGACCTCAGCGTGAGTCCTCAGCAGCCTCATTCACTCATCGGTGTTCCACAAATGCACATTGTATTCATTTACAAACGGATCAATAACAATTAGAATTTGAATCTACAATTTTTGGCTTTAAAACATAACATAACGAGCGCAAACAGTCGATTCCACATTCAGTAATGTCACACCTGCTTAATCTTGTTTAGTCTATTCTCATCATATTTTCTTCTCATTTAAAATTTATGTATGGTTATGTGTGTATTCTGACACTTTGTGCCTCTTGGCCTTGTTTCACCTTTGTCAGGAGAATGTACTGCAGTTCTTTGCTAAAAGCTTCTCCTCCTCTCCACTGAACGTTACGCGAGAGATCTACACCAGCTTGGGTAGGCCCTCTGAATGCAACTTTTATTATTGATTCATTATTATTTAGTATTGATGCATATGTGCAGCATTTTCTTATTCAAATTAAACACAGAAGGTCAGTCCTCCTTTATTTATATTTGCAAGCAAAGAAAGGCCTCTTTCCCTCTCACTGCTGATGCAAACACAGTGGCGTTATGTTGAATGGTTTTTAAGATATTCACCTCTCAACTTCAGCTTCCACCATAATAGTTTTACAATCAAGGTTTGGATTTTTTTTATTGGTAAATCAAAAACACATGAGCTTTGTATGCACTGCATATAGTGCAATGTGTAAATTAGCATCCATGTTATTTTTGCACATATTGCACGATTTGTAATATTTCACCTTTTGATGAGCAGCTACAAGCGTGGAGTCGAGCTTTCTGTCTCACAAGTTGAACTTTCCAAGTGGTTCAGCTGTTCTCGACATCAACAGACCTGAGATCAGTCGTCTTCTCAAACAGGTACAGCATCTTATCTCTTACAGCATCTTAACTCTATCACCATACAAAAAAGTCCCACAGTTTCTTTCATCCCCTCTCTCCCTGTCCTCTCTTAGATTCGTTTGATGAATGACTTTCAAAAGGAGGTGACTACCTTTTGGATCCGTCATCCAGAGAAGTGAGTTACTGTTCAGTCAGTTACATCAGCATTATCTGTATAGTCTATAGCCATTATCACTTATTCATATTTGACAAAACTATAAAAATGCTCGATACCCAGGAAAATATTCTACTATTCAGTCTGAAGCTATATGACATATGGTTCACACATGCACAAACCAATGCTTGTTACTCTTTTGAGTTTCCTACATTAATCCCAGTCCAGTAAATTTGTGTTGAATGATACAGACTCAGTGTATGTGTTTTGGTCTTTTTCATTACCCTGCTTTAGATATATGGAGGAAGTCATAGAGAGCACATTCTCCATGTTGTCATTCCATCATGAACACGGCTCAGCAGGGACAGAGAAAGCCTTGGAGCCAATTCACTTACTGGCCATACTGGATGTTAAAGCTACCTGGTTCAAAAAGTGGATGGTGTGTATGACAGCTGAAGACATATGAACTACTGTGTTTATTGCTTGTTGAGGTCTTCATCTTCATCTGTCTTGTTCATATCGCATTTATCACATGTATTGTGTTTATTTCCCGGTGGGCCTTCCTCTCCGTCTCTCAGCATGGCTACTACAGCAGGACTGTGGTTCTCAGACTCCTGGAGAGAAAATATAAGTCTTTGGTGAGTGATTCACTCAATAATCAATACCTCTTGCTAACTCCTTTGTACTTCTGACAAGTCCAACACAAGAGAGAACCAGCCAAGCAGATGAAGCTTAAAAGAATTTTCCAAAAGGGAATCAAACCTACATCCAGAAACCAAAGCATTGTGTGTTTGAAAGACAAAACTTTGCCTGAACAAGGGGAAATTAGGGAACTGTAACAAACTCAGTCATGCTTGCTTGCCCATGGAATTGGAAGGATATAAATTCAGTTACTCATTGAAGCAGATGATATCCTCTTTTTAGATGAAAATGTTTTTTTCCTGATGATACTTTCTGGTTTCATCCTTGGGTCTCAGAGAGAATCTGAATTTAATGTCCTGGTTCTGATCTTTATCCAGATATGCGTTCAGAAAAAAAAAACACATTGAAAAGGGAAAAAGATTCTCCAAACGAATAGCTGCACTTCACTGCTGCCTGCTGTGAAGTTATTATTCATGCTCATCCACTGTATTTGTTGTACTGGTGTACTTCACACAACCAAACAGTGCAGGCCAACATGCTGGTCTTTAAGACAAAGGGGCAAAGAGTTGAGTGCCACTTTGACATTTAAGAATTGATTGTTTAATCCTAAACCTCTCTCTCAACTCTTACTCTGACTTTAGAGGGGATTACTGTGGAATCACCTCTGAAACTTTCTCTAAAGAAACTGTCAATAGCTCTCTAAAAAGCTGTGAGTCTAAACTACTCTTGCATTGCGGTGCATTAAAATTCCCTAAAGTGCACGGATTTAGATTAAAAGCAGTGGTTCTAGTCTTAAAACTAGATTGATTAAGAGACTCAATGAGCGGTTGCATTGGCATTCTGACTGAATTCTTTAGTAAGCCTCTTGCTTTTGGCCTGTTCATAACAGCATACAAATTTGGCTCTGCACATTGGTCTTTTGTCATTTCGTTTAGCTAATCAAACATTTTCAGCAAGATGCATTGTTTTAATCTTTATTTTTTCAGGTTGTAGCAGCTCTTCAGCAGTGTATCCATTACAGTGAATCCTGTGAACATTTCACAAATGAGGCAACAGATCCCCAGTCAGGGGAGCAACAGAACTCTGGTAAGTAAAACACTCCATAAACTCATGATTTCTTCATCAGGTTTGTGTACTCTCTCAGGCATTTTCAAATCTTCTCTCCATCTCCCTGTGTGGCAAGCATCAGCACATTTGCCGTAATGCTGATTTAATATGTGCTGTGAAACAAACCAAAAAATAATACACTCAGAGTGAACTACTGTGAAAGCCTAATGAGAAAGTAATGCTTCATTTGAAGCCTTTGGGTGTTAAACGTGTTTGTACCTAGACTTTGCCATCATGTCTTCAGTTTCTTTAATGCACACGTTGTGTTCCTGCTGTCGTTAAAACAGAGGAGTGCAGAGAAAAACATTAGAAGGAAAAAAGAACAACAAAAGAGAAAGAAAAGACAAAGCAGACTAAAAACTGTTGAGGGATGAGAGGAAGGAATGACAGAAGGTGGCTAAATGAGCACTTAATAAGAAGCATGACAAAATAAATGATTAAACTGACTGAAAGCAGAGGCTTGTTCATGTATGTATTATAGAAAAGATCTCACAGCCCTTGTGGTAGAAAATGTGGTGCAGCATGTGCAAGACTAAAGGCATGCAGTACACATAAAAACCAGATTTACATTAGGATTATGTGAACCATTCCCTTTTTTGGATTTCTTCCCAACATTGTGTATACACACAAGAGACCACAGTGGAGACTATTCTTCGCCTATTGTCGTGTGGTGCTTGTTTCTTAAGATTTAGGCCACATTTTTCACAAATTCTTCCTCTTTCTCTCAGAGATTCTTAGTTTGTTTACAGCAATTAATCACGCTTAAAATTAACATTGTAATTATAGATTAACGGGAACATGCTACACCTCCAGTCACACAGCCAAGTGTGAAAATTCAATAAATCACAGCGAATGCAGTGGGAGATGGTAGATGGGGCATAAGTGAATGCCGTGTCAGTGTGTTATCTCCTGTAAGCCAGCTGCCTCCTCGAGACTGAACATTGTGACCTTGTCTTGGATGAGTGGCGATATGCTGACTCCCCCGCCACTGATACACTCCTCATAAAAGAAATGGAGTTTTCCGAGCTGTGCCACTTTTTGATTTTCTGCACCCCTGAGATGCTGCAAGGTTGCCACATTATTTCACTTGTCAATCTCATTCTAATTGAGCAGCCTTAGATATGAAATGTCTGAAAACTGTCTGTCGACCATAATGGCATGACAGTCAGTGTGCCTTTATAAGTGCTTTGAAAGAAAGATACTGACTTTCCTCTGTTTTTTTTGTTTTTTTTTGTCTCAGCTTTGCTCCTTCCACCACATGTACACGTATCGATAATAATGCAAGAATGCAAATGTCAATATTTGGACATGATGGAAACTGGAAATGAGAATGCAGCTCATTTTTAGACGATCCTTTTTCACTCAGATCTTCTGCTAATGTTTTAGGTACGACGCAGAGGAGTGTTTATTCTGGAAAGGAGCTTGGATATTCCTTCTTTGTCCACTCTCTGTGTGTCCTTGGGAAACTTATCATCTACACCAATGGAAGAAAGCTCTTTCCCATCAAAATGAGGAAGCACAAAGGTGGGATGCCAGACTATCGTGTACATAGTTCTCTGTCTTAGTGTGTGGATAGATTTTTATTTTGTTATACATACAGAATACAACAAAAGTGAAAAATCAGTGAAATGTCAAACGATTCAGAATTGTAAAACCTTCTAATAACTGCTTTACTTCTAAGCTGAACAGCAGGGTATTTGCTCTTATGCTCTTACATTTAACATATTAACAATACAGGCGTAGGAACTCCATTTCTTCAATACTTTTTATATCCACCATTTTTAATAACAGAATGAATCCTCCTCAGCATGATGGACACCACATTTCTAGAGAGATGTTCTGCTGTTCCTCAGAGACTTTTTTTTTCAGCTGCTCTCTGCTGGAAGGGTTGTGTTGCTCTAAGTTTTCCTTTAAAATGCCCCAAAGGTGTTCTTTTAGATTCAAGTCAGGCCACTCTTTGCCAGGTCATACTTTCACATTTTTTTGTTCTTTAGAGACTTTTGTAAAATTTGAGCAGTGGATTTTTATGTTGGAATCATCCTCTTCTGCCAAGCTTCTGCAGACTGTGAGTCATCTTGTCAGCCACTATTTTGGTAAATTCACAGTAATTCATGCCATCAGTAAATATCACTTTCCTGACACCTTTACACTCATATAGCTCCGTGGTTTTAGACCTTTGCTCTTCACTGTTTGGACTTTGCATTCACTGTGGTAGTTGGGTTTCATGCCAAACATGCAGGTCCTTATTTTAGCCAAACTAATTTACCTCAGTCTCCTCTGAACAAAGAATGGCCTCCAAATATTAATCAGACTTCTATTTAAGGGGATTTTAATCGGTGATTAAGGTCATTTTATAACCATTTTTATGCAATTAGACTGAAAATCAAAGGTGTTCTCAGTTTTGTGTCAGTAATTACAAGTGTATAGACTTTTGTTACATTGAAAAATGCAATTATTTAGAGGTGGTACAATTTTAAAACATTTGACATTCAAGGGATATTACACATTGGTTTATTCACTTCTGTTCCTACTGTAGCTTTTGCTAGATGTAGATATACATTCATGGAAAAAGTCCACAAGACCACCCTTGTTTTTTTTTTTTGTTTAATTTCTTGTTCATTTTAATGCCTGCTACCACTAAAGATATATTACCTGAAGAATACAATGAACACAACAGAAAAAATGCAGCTGATTACATAATACTTTATATCCTATTTGACATGCTTTAGCTTAGTTATATTCCCTGTAGGGTATATAAGAGCCCGTTTCATGTCATAAGCAGCACTGCACATGCAAAGGCCTGGAGTGGTTTCCTGCTTACATTCAAGCACAACTCCGAAGTTGTCAGCTTTCACATACTGCTTAAAACAAAAGAATTATGTGAAGCCACAAAGGCAGCCATCTTGGCACTGCTGGACATTGGCATGAGTGAGAGACAGGTAGCGAAAAAACTGAAGATCTCCAAGACAGTCGTTCATTACACCAAGAAAAAACAAGGCCAACACGGTACTACCAGATTGCTAGCTGGTCACGGCAGGAAATGTCCTTTTACCCCACAAGATGACCGTGTGCTCATCTGTTCCTGTGTCAGGAATTGTCATCAGACCTCCAGGGACCTTAAAAATGAGGGGGCACTGTCGAGAAATGTGACTTGTTCGGCAAGGACAGTTTGCAACCGACTTGTTGAAGCTTATCTGAAGCCACACAGGGCACAGAAGAAGCCCTTCATCAAGAAAAATGTAGAGGAAAGCCTGGATCCTCTTTGCTGGGGATCACAAGGATTGGACTGTTGATGATTAGGTTGAGGTTCTCTTCAGTCATGAATCCAATTTTTAGTTTATTACTGTTTAGGAAGAAGCCTGGAGAAGCCTACAAACCAGACTGTCTTGCCCCTACAGTAAAACATGGGGGTGGATCAGTGACGCTTGTTTCAGTGTGGGTGGAACAGGGCAAATGCAATTGTGTGAAGGGCGAGTGAACCAGGTCATGTACAGGGCTACTCTTGAAAACAGTCTTCATCCATCAGTTGGAAAATTCTTTCCTGCCTCGAATGACTGGATTTTCCAACAAGACAATGCCCCTTGCCATAAGGTCAGTTAAAGCTTGGATGGAGAACCAGAACATTGGAACTATGCCTTGGTCTGCTCAATCACCAGATCTAGATCCAACTGAAAACCTGTGGAAAATCATCAAATGCAAAATGGAGAACCACAAGCCCAACAACAAAGCAAATTTGTTTGAATTTGTGTAACAGGAATGGACTGCTGTGACAGCAGAATAATGTCAGTCGCTGGTGGAGAGCATGCCAAGACGCATGGTCATCAAAAACAATGGTTATGCAATTAAGTACTAACACCTGTGTGTATCATGTCACTAAAACAGACAGAAAAGAAAACATGGATTGCCAAAAAGCACTGTTTTTGGCAGTGCAATGCCGTAACTATTGATGTAAGAACTGAAGTGATTTTGGTTATTATCAAGAAAACCATAGAAATGTCTAGATATCAGCTCTTAAATGAAACTCTTATGAACTGTTTTGGTCGTTAGCATTATATTTGTCCAAACAAATGTACCTTTAATTGTACCAGGCATTAAAATGAACAAGAGATTGAAGAAAACAAGGGTGGTCTAATACATTTTTCCATGACTGTATGCTTGACTGTAGCTACTGCATAAACACTTTGGGTACTTTATGTTCCCTTTCACTCGTGTTAAAGGCTCGTAGTTAAAGGGACCAGACAATTTATTGCCATGCTGATTGTCATCTTAGTCTCAGTGATTTTACAACAAAATAAACCCACCTATCTTTACTTCACATAATCTCCCGTAGGAATGTGTCTGATCAGCATACATAGTTGTAGCACTCCCTCCATTTGCCCATGCGGTGATGTTGTCCCTGCCAACCCTTCTTAATCGCAGGTGGAGTTACATAATGGTGCAATTGGAACATAGGCAGACAATGACAACAGACTCACTATCACTGGCACTAAACTGTAATTGATTTACCTACTAATAACCCTAATAAGTCTTATGCAATGAAGTCAAAGCAATTAGAATATTTTATCTCTTTGGGTGGAGCCCTTTTGATGATCAATGCGTGGCCTCTCCACACCTTAAGGTATGGCATCTGGACCACCCATTTGTGTCACAGTGCGTCACCTGCTGCAGTTTCGACTGCAGTTTTCAGCTGCCCACCCATGTTTTATAGATTTTCTGCTGTTTGACTTTTTTTTTTATTTGATTCTAGGTTTTTCGTTTATTATGCTAGTTTTGCAGTTGATTTTTGCTATTTTACATCTAATCTATATTTTTGAATTTATTCGATTATTTTTTTTTTTATTCAACGTAACAAGTTTAGACGTCACTGTTTTTTTTTTAGTCCACTGTTCCGCTCCTACATTTCTGCCTTCAACTCTTTAGCAATGTGGTTCTTAATATTGTTTAAAACATTTAAGTAAAAAGAGGAATGCACAAAAAATGTACATTCAGAATTTGCTCTTAGTAACATGCCATATCACATCACGGCTACTGAATATGATGTGACACGGCCCGTATGTTCCAACTATTGTCATTATTGATTCATAGGTTTACTGTTTCTCATATTCTTCAAGTAATCCAATAGAATGTAGAGCAAAACGCCTGTTTCTCAGGGCCTTCAGGAATGTGTTTAAGTTTCTTGATTTGTCAGCTCAAAAGTCTAAATCCCAAACATTTCAACTGATAATGACGTAAATCTTCAGCACATCTCAATTGAACCAGAAATATTTTTTCCCTGATAAGTTAGACAGCAACAAAATTGCATATTGAGGCATTTATGTAAATATCATACAGTTTTAAAGCACATCAGGTACCAAAATTCATCCTGAAGGAAACTATGCACCAAGATGATCTTCTACATGGACTGTTTCCTTCTTAGAAATATCTGCTGCTTTTCGTGTCCCCACCTGGATGCATAGTAAACACACTGATTCACTCTTTTATTGTGTCTGCGTTTCAGATCCAGTCAGTCTGACAGACCTGATTGTCATCCTCATTAACATCATGTATCGACACCCCAAGCCCCTGCACAGTGATACCTCACACACAGGTGGGGCTCATACACTCACACACAGATATGAACTACGTCAATGAGTTACAGGTTCTCCTGGCTTCTGTTCAGCCTGTCAGACAGTCTGGAATCATGTGTTGAGGGAACATAGTGACCCTCCTTATGAGTTATAACAGCATTCCTCAGACCATATCTTTTATCTCTTAACCTTGTACTGAGTCATGTAGTACTATAGTTGTCTCCTGAAAGACTTTATTGCCCTATTCATAGTCAGGAATTACACTGCAGCAACTTTGCTGCCAGTGATCAATAGTCGTCCTCACCTTGACTCTGTCACAGGTTCATATCCTTTGGCTGCTACAGGGAGTCAGGCTGAACAAGTGACTGATATTAACATTTTGTGCAAACACATCATAATGCTGCAGAAAGCAATAAATACATCTGCCATGTAAGGATGAGATAAGATATAAGGAGGATAAGATGTTTGATTTCAAAGCTCCATTATGTAATGTTTTCACCCAAAGACATAAACATTGAATTCAAAGTTTAACTGCGGTGATAGGATCATTTTAATGTTCTGCCCCCTGAACCTGAAGTTACATTGTTTTATTTTGAAAGGAACTTTAAAAACAGAAAGAATCAACAGATTTTTTTAACTTTCTGATGATCCTTGTACCACTCACCTGTAATGCTGTGTTCTGTCTGGAAAATAATTCAAATGTAAGATTTAAAAAAAAAAAAAGATATTTCATCAAAATCTCTTAATTCTGCACAACTCATTTAAAAAATTACCAAAATAAAGTATCTGCGCCAGAACCTGTGAAAAAACAAAACAAAACAAAAAATCCTGAGTTTTCTGCACAACTGTGACCAATTATTGACTCAGGTGTGTCAAACAGGCTGGTCTGCAGGCTGTGTTTACACAGAGCAGACAGGAGACAAGAACTGATTACACCTGTGGACACCTGGGAAAAAGTTAGAAATGATGGTTCCTGATTTTTTCAGTTTTTGTAAAATAAATAATCAAAATAACTTTTGATTTGCACTTGTTTTTAAGACTTATGACATGATAACTTTGTCATACAGAAGACCTCTAGCCATATGGTTGTAGTGTTTCCATAGACGTGTACAACTAGATATTGCAGTGAAAACTGAGCTTACAGTTAGTGACAGGAGCAAAAACAAAAAACATGCCCAAAAACTGCTTGGAGTTTAGTATGCTGTATGCATACTGTGTAACATTGGTTCTAGATATTTTTTAAGGTCCTCAACCCATAGACACCCACAGAAATCTGTATCGTTCATATTTAGATAAATCAACAATACATCAAGTTAAGTCTAAAAACTACTATTTTTATATGCTGAAGAGAAGTATGTTTTCACTCTACAAACCTTAAAAATGGAAATTAATCTAAAATGCACAAATCTAGCTTATAAAACCCACAAGGATCCAGCAGCTCTGCTAAAAGCAACTTTAACCGAATTTGATTTCTATAACATTGACAGATAAGTAACAGGTAAGACTGTGTGTTTACTGTCAGTCTTAAGGTGTATCTATATTATTAAGTGAATACACATGCATGTAATTCAGCTATATAAACCGTACAACAGTTCTGAGAACCTCAGGGAGTGGTCTCCTGCTGGTGCTCAGAGTCAGGACTAAACACGGTGAGGCTGTGTTCCAGTTTTATGCAGCTAAAATCTGGAACTGTCTTTCAGAAGATGTGAGACAGGCCTCAACTCTGACAATGTTCACATCCAGACTGAAAACAGTTCTATTCAGTTGTGCATATGATAGCTTGAAGTATATTATCTGTACTCTTCTAATAAATTATTGTATTTATCTTTTTATGGATTGACTTCATATGCCTCTTTGCTTTTAATGTAATTAATTAATGATTGTGTTTATGTTTTGTGGACGAACTATTTGTCTTCTTATAGTTTTGTGTGAAACATTTTGAATTACCTCGGGTACGAATTGTGCTATACAAATAAACCAGCCTTGCCTACAACAATAAACATGTGTTAACTTTGTTGGAAAGGTTTCTGATCTGTTGTTCGTGTGTTCAGACTCCCTGTCGCCCAGCGGTCTGGTGATGGAGGTGCTGTGGATGCTGTGTGAGCGGACAGAATGTGCTGCAGAGTGTCTCTACCAGGCTCCTGTCATAGAGACACTGCTGGCTCCGGTCATAGCTCTACTCAGTGGACAGCAGGTCACACACACACACGAACACACACACACACACACACGCACACACACATTGGCCGATATAAACCACAAACATGATGGCGATTTCAAAACACAAATAGCAACATATGAAAAGTTTTAAATTGAGAGTTTCTACAGTTAGTAAATAACCAGGTAAGCTTAAGTTATCCTACCTGATATATTTTTAACCCCTCTTCTTGTTTTCCATGTCAACAGAACTATTATGTACTAATAAAAACAATAGTAAAGAAAATGAAATATTGTTAACATTTTAGAACAAGAACAAGTGGGTCATATTGCAGTTTATATCAAAAATATTGCAATATGAAAGTAGTGCAGTGTTACACAAAGATTTGTTTATGAGGAATTTCACTTGATAACCTCTCTTGTAGTTGTAAAGTGGTAGTAGTAAATTTATGATCAGGAGTTATTGTGACCTACTAGAATTACGATTCCAAGGAATATACTTTAAACCTCATTTCCTTATGGTGCTGCTCACCACTCCCTGCTGGGTTGAGCTTCCTTACGGGGAGCGTCAAGGTCAGATCAATGATCTACATTCTCCACATTCACATAATAATCGATTCCGCAGTAGTTGGATGACTGAATTCCTTCCTCAACCAGTAGCTTCAATTTTAAACCTCAGTATTGAATGCGGAACGTTTGTCTCTAGCATGTTGACCTGACATGTATCTAATGTCAACTATAAATAAAAGGCTTCTCTGTGTAGCCATAATCTTCTGAATCATGAACCTAAACATTACCCCAAACTAAGGATTTAGTTTCCAACACTGTATCGATATACATAATTGTCTTTACATTAGAAGGACTCAAACAACGCACGACGGCGGGCCTTTTAAAAGCTGCTACAGTGAAGGCTTTACCTCTGAAATACAAATATAAATGCTTTCTCTCAATTCTGTCACTGTCAAAGCTAACAAGGTTATTTCAGTTTTCCGTATGTGTTCAGGCTCCACTTGTTTCTGAAGCTGCTCTGTAATTTTGTCTGTTTATTTTCTCCGCTTTGCAGGCCAAATTAAAGTCTCCTGCAGCAACACTGACTCTCATTGCTGATGTTCTGGCTCGCATCGCAAACACTGACAGAGGATTAGCTCTCTTCTTATACGAGCAGAATCTCATCGTAGCCCACAGTGAGAGGTGAGACAGTGTGATTAAAGTGTGATTAAACACACAGTGTCATTTTGTCTTTTTGATACTAATGAATAAATTACATTTTCCTGACTTAGCTGGGAGACTTTCACATAGAGTTAAATTTGCATAACAAATCCTCCTGATTCTGCAAAGAGAGCAGATTAGACCAGAGGATGTTAGTAGTTTGTGACTAGCTGGGATTATATCTTATCTCAAATGTCATTATGGCAAGAAGTCTACAAAAAAGTATATTTTAATTATTTTTTGGGCCTCAAATTAGTTTTATAATCTGTTTCTTGACCTTTAGTGGTCTTTAATCTAGTTCAGTCTGCCCAACAACAGCCGGTTGTTGTGATTTAGGAATTATGTACTTACCAAGGCTGATACCACTTCAATTCTAAATGTATGCCTGATTAAAAAATGTTTTGTGCATATGTGAAAGTCAGGAAACTTTATAAAATGTGCCACTGATAGGAGTAAAGGCTTTGTACTCTACTGGAAACACAACATGGACAAACCAAGACGATAATGCACTAAAATACATCATAACTTCCTTAACACAGACATTAGGGGTCACAGATTAGGATCAAAACTACATTGTACAGTGCAGATAGCAGTTTCTCTCAGCACAACAACTCTAAGCTCAAATGTTATTCCAATGAAAATCTCATATCCTGGATGTTATATCTATTGTCGGCATCTTTGTCTGTTCCTTCTCTCCTCTGCAGAACCTTTGCTGCTCATGTTATTGTGCAGTTCACCCTGAGGCTGCTGGATAAGGGCCTACCATCACTGAGTGAATCAGATGTGTCCCATACATTATGTGGAGCCTTTATCTTTGTCTGTCGGCAGATATACAACACCTGTGAGGGTTTGCAGGTCCTCCGACCCTACGGCCTGCACAAAGCTGTAGCGGCTGCATGGAAAAAGGTATGTGCACTGCATTCGTGGATTTCATTTTCACCAGGACACATTCCATAAGTAGCACTTATTTCTAGATATGTTTTAAAGGTTTAAACTTATCTTAAAGTAACTTAAACTAATCAAAACAGTATGGAAAAATATCTCATTGGCTTTTAGATTAAAGTTTTTTACCTTGTTTACATGCCCTTACAGTGTTTTTTAATATTCTGGAAGACACATGAGCGAAATGAGCACTGGACACTATGGCTGAGCATTTCCACCTGGAAACTGCAGTGTACTGTTGATAGTCTCAAAATCACAGATTCAGGCTGAACTAATCCTGCCAACTTGCATGATGGGCTTTCTGTATCATTATTCTTCTGCAAAATCAGTTTCCAGTTTGAACATGTGATGCTGAATCACTCCAATATTACATTATTGTGTAGCGTAGAGTAGCTGGACAGTGTTTGAGCAAAATCGTAGATGAGCTGGTGTTCTCCAGCTGCAGTGAGTGGTGTGGGTGGAGAAAGAGGCAGGAAGGGGTTATATTCATGGGAAAAAAAATCAGTTAACTGCATTGGAAGTTTTTTCTTTTTTTTCTTTTTTTTGCTTTTCTTTCACTCAGTGCACCTCACAATCTCACATTCTGCCCAGAAAGGAATTTGCTTACCTAAAGCTGCAGTAGGCCTAAATCTGGGAACACAAAACAAAAAAAACAAGCAAACAAAAAAAAATGCTGAAACTTAAAAATAATATACACCTTGCTTCCTGCAGCTCTTTCCTTTTTCTTCCCCTGTCTGTTCTAAACCCCTTCCGCCAAATGAACACGTTCCTCACAAACACAGAGCTAGTCAAGATAAAATCCAACATTCCATTGTGACTTTATCTGGGATTTGAGCTTCACCCTCCCATTCACCTGCTATGAGTGGAAAAAATCCTGTGATTGGCTAAACCTTCCTGTCACAGGCATGATGTTAAAAAGGCTGAACACAGAGCCAAGAACAGACTCAAACCCCTTATATTACAATACGCTGAAATGTTTGCCCACTGATGCAAAAAAAAAAAAACAACAACAAAACCCACTGCCTGTCCCAGCTTTAAAGTGACTACTTTAGGTTACCAACACAACTATATTAAAAAAATACTAAGGTAGATTTGTTATCCTTTTCAGAAATGCTCTTTGTGTCTGTGGCAACATCCACAACAAATTGTTACAAAGAAAAATGTAAAAATATGGTCCTCATCAACACCACTAACAATCAAGATCAAAAACAAATGATACACTTGCCATATGACCCAGAGTAGTTTAATAAAACTTTACTAACAGCTATGACGGATCTCGGGGCATGGCAAGTCCATGTGACAGAATCCTGTACCTCTGTCCTCATGATGACAACTCATATCCCCCAGAGAGGTGTGATACATCGCTGGTGATTGCGCAGCCTTTCCTTATTACTCACCACTCACAATGTGTCATACTGAGTCGTTATTGACCTGCAGTTTTGCTTGACATATTAATAATCTTAACGAGTTTGTTCTCATTATTTAAATAAAGTGAGAGATACCAAGCAAGGAAGTGAAAAGTTTGAATCTTCTCTCCAAATGAACAATGAAAATAAACTGGCATTTGTCTGTTGAAGCTTTTACTTGAAGTAATCATCTCCTGTGAATGACAGCTTTTAATCAGTTACTGTTCTTAGATACATACACTAATTTACAACTTCAGTACAGTCACCATGAGTAGCTACTTGTTGCTGTGTGCTCATGCTGGCTCAGCAACTGTAGCATTAAAAGCATAAACTAATTTAGCCCTACATTTGTTTGTTCATTTATATTAATACACATGTGAAAAAACACATCACCCTGTTACACTGGTGTTGCTGTGTGGAATTTAATGTTCATGGTAGGCAAATACAAAGACTTTTTCCTAGAGAACCTTGCTTCGCTATACCTGTCATCAAAACAATGTAAAAGATGGCAGCGTAACTTTATATATGAATCTCTTTCCCACAGTATCTAATGAATGGGTATCTATGTCTAATGATCAGTTTCACTGGTTAGAATACTGCTGTCATGTTTCATTTGCTTGATGAATGCAGTGTTCTCTCATTATTCACTCACTGCAGCAAGAAAAGCAGCACCATTTCTGGCAAATGGCTGAATTAACTAACCATTATAATCTTCTTCATTTAGGTTTTGGAGTTCTGCTTCTGTCACAACAAAGCATTAGATTCAGACTCAGAATATCTTTAGTAATACAGTCTGTACTTGAGAGAAAATCTGATGATGAAACACGCAGTCAAGTGTGCAACCAAAACCAATAACAGTAGCAGAGAAATCATGTAGAAGACTTGTAGTGGCTCTGCTTCTGCTAAGTAGGAACATCAAGACGTCTCTGTGGTCGATGTTTTTTTTTAAATCTAGCAAACAGTCTCACTTCACAACACGTCCCCTTTGTTGTAAAAACATTCATGTCAAAAATTAACTTGTCTTAGACATTGTTGCATCAGTCTGCAACATTGTTCCCTCTCGCTTCCTTCTGACTTTATGCAGTCTATGTCAAATATTAATAATCTGCCTGCACGTGCTGTGCTGTGACCAACGGACACAGTGTGTCACGTCGCAAATCCATGTCCACATCTGAACTTTGTGGAAGGTATCTTAAGGAAACATGATTTGAATTTGTTCACAGGAGATAAATCACTAACGGCTTCTTTTATTAGTTCAGCAGTCTTGATTTCCTGATTATTTTACTGTTGTTGTTCTTTTTTTTTATTGGTGTCTCAATTGAGAAAGAGTCATAAAGATCAACAGAATCTGTTCGTAAGCCAACAAAGCAGAGTACAAAAAAGGAGCACAGAAAAATTACACTGAAGAAACAGCAGGGTTAAACAATTCGTAGAATCAAAATATAGAAAAGGAAGTGTTCCAAAATTGACTTTGCTCATTTTGAAATGATTTAATATCAAGAACAGAAAAAGCAGCTCCTTTTAAGTCCCTCAATGTATCAGAATCTTGGTATGCATTTGATGTGTGTCCGAAAAGTTTCAGGACTGGTGTCACAAAAGATATACTTCAAATCCAAACTACAAACTACAAGTTTTCCCCTCCGAAGTAATCCCCCTGGAGTCTAACCCACTTTCCCAGCCTTCTCTGTCACGCCGCCATGCACTCCTGGAAGGACTCTTCTGGGATCCTCCTCAGCTCCATCATCACAGCCATCTTGATGTCGTCCACATCTTCAAAGCGGGTCCCCTTGATGACCCCTTTGAGCTTGGGGAAGAGGAAAAAATCCCATGGAGCCAGGTGGGGTGAGTAGGGAGGTTGATCCAGCACGGCCATGTTCTTCTCAGCCAGACACTGTGGGATGCTCAGGGCGTTGTGAGCAGGCGCGTTGTCATGGTGAAGCAGCCACGACTTGTCCTGCTACAACTCTCACCTCTTCTGGTGCACTGAACGACGCAAACGCCACAGGATCTCTTTGTAGACGCGCTGGTTGACCATCTGAAGGGGAAAACTCGTAGTTTAGATTTGAAATATATCTTTTGTGTAGTCCTGAAACTTTTCTGACACACCTTGTATATTAGTAAATAATTCTTGTCTAAATCTTCAGATGTTCCACATGCCCTCATGTGTTATTTGGAGTCATAAAAAAATAAAAAAGGGTTTTTTTTGTTTTTGTTTCTAGACTATTTCTTTGTCAGAAAGGGTTCCAACCCCGGTACCTGGAGCCAGTGCTGGAACATCTACCCAAGAGCTGCAGCACATGTGAGGCTGCACACACAAACACAATCTGTATACTTTATCTGAACACCTGGAACTGGAAGATTAGTCAAGCTCAACATGGACATAAAAAGACATAAATTAGTGTTTTTTCATCCCATATTTGTGCAGAGACAGAGAACTTTAATAATTATTTGGACTTATGTGGTTTACAGCTTACAACAGAAGGCCCATGTCCTTGTTAAATATGAATGTAAAGTTGTAAACAAGCTTAGTATCTTTTTAAATATTTGCATGCACCAGAGGAGATATTTTAAGTGAATGCAAACAACGAATAAAACGAATACTTGCACCGCTGAGGACGCCCCTGTGACTGCTATTGTAAACAACTTATTAACAAGCAAGAACAGGCGTTTGTATCCATTACAACCACCGCGGATACGTGCAGGAGATTCTAGATGTTGACCTGAATTAGGCTTCAGAAGGAGTGCAGTCGATGATCATAAACCACCATTAATCTCCCTCTCATGCTGACACTTTGAAAGGCTGAACAGTGTAGTGCATGGCGTGGAGAACAAGAATAATTAGGGAAGCAAATTTCCCCTTTACTACCACTTAGCTGTGTCTTATTTCCTCACAAACCAGAAGGTCAAAGTTTTCCCCTATTTCAGTTTCCATCAGTTCAAAACAGAGCATTCCAGTCTAGTTGCATAAAAATCCTACAACACAATTGTATGACATGGTAAAGGTAGGAATTTTTGTTAAATGTGTATTTGCTTTCATTCAATAGCACTCTAACATTAATAGATTTGCCCTGTTTTTTTCAAATGAACCTGTGATATTGAATATGTACACATCTCCACACACAGAAAACCCCACACCGAAGCTCGAGTGAAATACCTCAGCGCATTCCACCTTAGATTTCTCGATGTTTTTCCCTGACTCTGATAAAGAGAATCTAAACTGGCATCATTGGCAAACATCAAGCCACAGCACTGAGGAAAACAAAAGTTTAATTTATTCTGTAAACCTTCATTGCCAAGAGGGGAACTGGCATAAAAACTTGGCTTGTGCAGCTTCGATTTCAGGTTCTTATTTATCCAGATACAAAGAACCAGACGGTTCTAATACAACAGGCATCACCTGTGTTAAGTAAGGCCTGGGTTATAGTGCACATTTCCACACAGTCTCTTCAGGGAGACATTGGTAGAATTGTATTTGGTTATACACATGAAAACTGTCACATATAGCTTAGCAACAGATAAAAAAGAGAACTAGAAATACAAGTACAGTGCCTCACTCCTCTCTCACCTCTTCACAACTGGTCAGTCACAGTGTGGGTGTGTCGGATCATTGGCTTTGGAAACTTACAGATAATAGGTGACACAAACACCCTGTATTTGACATCTGAAAGGTGTGGGGGAGAGCAGTTCGGAAACTCTGAAACTGTCCACTGCGCATGAATCTAAGAAGCTTATTATTGAGTTCCCTGCCAGAAAACTCATATTGTAAAAAAGTAAGGAATAGGTAGAGTCTGACCCAAATACTTCGACATACAGTGTCTCAACTAATAAGTGTGCTAACCACATTTACTTGATCTTAATTTGCCAGACTGCTTCCTTGTGTTAAGAACTTCTTGTGACTGTGTGTCACAGTGTGAAAGCACTGCACCTTACTCTGTCTTTCTTCCTGATTTTGTCACAGTCACATCTGGGAAGAGACATTGTTGGACAGTCTGCTGAACTTTGCTGTGACTCCTAAAGGCCTGCTGCTGCTCCAGCAGACAGGAGCCATTAATGAGTGTGTCTCCTACATGTTCTCTCGCTTTACCAAAAAGCTACAGGTAATAACATGCATCAGTGAAACTGTGGTTATTTTAAGTTGACATACATTATCCCCGGGTTGCAGGTGTGCTACTCTGCAGTGCACACAGTTTGATTTTTATCCAACCTTTATGTAGATGTGTAGAGGTTTTCTGAGCCAAATGCTCTGTAACAGCTGCACCCTGCTCCATATTTGCACATCGATATACCGATACATTTGGAAGCTGCCACATTCAAATACAGTTAGTCACTGAGAAGCCCCACTGGAGCAATCTGAGGCCAAGTGACTTCCTTAAAGCACCTCAACTACCATTACATATGGCATTACCATGGGCTGTATATAAAAGATGGACATGGCCTTGGTTTAAAACATGATACCAACACAGAAGCATCTTAAGTCTCTGTTTTTTCTTACTGCCAGCAGGAGGCAACTCCTCTGGCTGTCTAATATATAGAGGTGTGTAAAAAAAAATGGCCTGACTACTCTGCTGATCTGTTATCTCAGTGAAGTTTCCTACAAAGTTTAGAATCTCAATTGCTAGATTTAAGTCTCGTTCAATAGATGATGTTCATGGTCCCATTTAGAATAAAATAGACGATAATGCACTTTGAGACTGACAGGGCTCTACTGTATGGATGTGCATAGTGTCGTTTAGGTTCTCTGGTCAGATCCATACTTTACTTGATATGACTGATTTTAAAAGATGAAGATGATGAAGGCCAAATTCTAATCTCAATGCTTCAAAGCAGTAGTTCACAAACCAATAGATGTTGTCACAGTGGGTAATCCCATCTTTTCTATACAGTCTATAGGTATTACCAATTCCCTTCTTCATCTAGTTTTTAATCCTCCAATCAAAACAATGCCAACTTGTAACAGCTTGTGTATACATAGTACTCTTAAGTAAGTCCAGATAGTGCCAGAGTCAAAGTTTCAAGTTAAATGTATGCAAGTGAGAAATGTTGCACCACCTCCACTCGAATCAATTGGTACAAGTTTTCTGGTGCTGAAATAGCACCAACGCTGATATATAGTAGTTATATAGTTTGATGGCACAGTTTCATCACCTTTATGGAAGTCCGGGAAGAATTAAGTTTGGCAGCGGCTCGTTTTTATCCTTCTTGATTCTATCAAGGTGCCAAAGTAATTTTATGCCGCTTAAGTCTGCCACACAGACTTGAATTACAGTAATCCAATAATCTATAGGCAGATATAAAATACAGAGCTGTGTGAATTCTAAAGAATAACTACTGACGAGGAGACGAAAAAGATGAGCGGGCGATCGTAATACTGTTCAAAAACTTCTGCATTTAAAATTTAGAATGATGATTTTTCAGTTTTTTTGCTGATATAATGGTAAATCTCATTTTTAATGCTTCTTCCACAAACTGAACAAAAAGTACTGTACAGAAGTATGGATGTATGCTGTTTTTTTTTTTTAAAGCTTTTGAGTTCTATGATGTTCTGTGCAGCAAAACATTATCTATCTTGAAAGCCTTTATTCATTCTGTTGGTCTCTGTCACTGGTATCTGTGGTGATTTGTTGATCCTGCTCCCCCACAAGGCCATAGTCATTTTTCCTGAAGACTGTTTAGTATTCAACACTAGCGTGGACACTGATACATGCTGTATAAGACATATACATATTGTAGACTCACATACACTCAGTCTTACAGCAAACCTTAGCTAATCCCCTGTGGGCTTAATTTACTGCCATTGTTTACGCATCCTTGTAACTGCTTCTCTCATTTGGCATTTCTCTTTAATTATAGAATGTAATTATATTTTGTCTATTTTTACTTGTGACATTGTGTTGTAATTAATGAAGGACCTACACACTCTAAAATCAATTTGCAATTTGATTTCTCCACAGGGTAATGAACTACACTATGTACCTATGTGCGCCTTCTCACGATGCCATATTTACAGTTTTTCCTCTTCTCTAAAATCGTGCTCTGTAGTAGTTTTATGTTTCTTCACCCTGCCCCTGCTTCTTATTCATTTTTCATGGCTGTAAGCAAAAACTTCAAAGATAAAAATAAAGAAATGTTTCTAGGGATAACGGGATTTCTGTTTGTGTTTTCTGAAGGTGAGCCGCTGTGAGAAGTTTGGATATGGGGTGATGGTGACACAGGTGGCAGCAACTGCTCCAGGGGTCGTGGCTCTGCACAGCTCAGGTACTAATGCACTTACTTGCACAAACAAACACTTGCCAGCTGTGATGCTTAAGGCTTGTGTTCCAAGTTGTTGTTGTGTAGTCGGCAGAAAGCAGAGTTCAGGCGGCCCAGGGAGAAACGCCTTTGTTAAATTGTTTGTGTCGGGATAAGTGGATGAAGAAAGCACAAGATGAGGGGTTCGCTGTCAGATTGTTGTTTGGATTAGGAATGTATGTGATGTGAGCAGGTGTCTAACTAGAAAAAAAATCAGGTTTTTGCAAATAGCATGGTAATATATCTGAATGTATTTGACAGATCAGGTGTATATTAATGCTTGAGTGAAAGGAGGTATAGACATGGTTATATGCAAAGGTAGATAGATAGCCAGGGGATACATCGTGGAAGTGTAAAACTAAATTATAGATTTAGAATTGGAGCTGGGTCAAATCCAGAGAACAAATTTCCTGACAGGGTTTGATAAAAGGATAACTATTATGATTGCGGTTTGAACCTGGTTGTAGATTTTGTTTTATGTTGTTTCCCTCCCTTTCTCCATGTGTTCTGTTTCTATGGTATCTTGTCAACAAGGTTAAAATGCCAAACAAAGACCATTTATAATGTTTGAGTTATGAAACTTTTTACATCCCTGACTGTTCTGTTCTTCGCTCTGTGTGTCAGTTAACGATCAATCTATACAAATCCACACTGAAATGATTGATGCTACGCTGCAGGTTTTGTCCGGGCACTGGTTGTAGAGCTGTGGTCCATTCTTGAGTGCGGCAGCGAAGATGTCAGAGTGGTCCGTCCTAAACCAACGCCCATGGACCCCATAGACAGGAGCTGCCTCAAGGTATCAGGGGTGCGAGTGTTTATGGGAGGGGTGAAGCAAGTAACTGCCCTAAAAGCCCCCGGTTTCCTCTGTATCAATCACACAGTCACACATTTGTCAGGCGTACTCTATCTCCTACTCTTGTGGAAATCTATTAAGTATTAAAAGCTGAATAATTTCAGTTTATATTGTGCTCATTTGTTATATCTGCGTGTCAAGTGCTTAGAAATCCTCAGGCAAGGTCTTAATATTCTGTTATAGGAGAACTATAATTTTTGCAGCTCACAGTTACTTTCATTATCAATACAGCTCGCAATTATTTCTTTAGTATTTCATTGATTGTGTGCAATAAAAAGTCAGATTTAAGTTCTGTTGTTACATTTGTTAAGGTAAAAAGATGCAGAGTGTACCATTGTAGAAAATTGAGCAAATTACAAACATTCACAGTTTCTGAGTTGATACCAGTGAATTTGTACCTTTTTTTTTCCTTCGAAAAATTATATAAACTCCATCAGTTCGCATTTCCTGTCCTGGTTTTTGCTCAGTACTTGTTGGTTTGTGGGTGTCTGGGTGGATAATGGAACCCTTGTCATCATGATAGTTGTAGTTTACTAGTTGAGACCGAATTCTCCTCTCATGCAGCTACATTTTATTTTAGTTTTACTTTGGGCAGAATTTTTTCAGCCTGAGTGTAGGACAGGCTCAACATTTCATTTGAAGCTGCAGCGTGTGCCTGTCTGCGTGTGTCTGATGCTCGCCTCTGACAGCAGCCAAGTCATCTCTCTCAGTGAAACTAGCCAAGTGAATACGGACAGTCAGTGAAGTGTGAACTGTGTCCTGCCACTGGCGACTTTCAAGCCTGCCTTATCAGTGGGTCAGCTGCCAGGATACATACATACAGACCTCAGAACAAAACTAAATATGTCGCACTGGCTTTTTTACATCGGAGATTTGGCAAATTAGCTCCAATCTGTTCTTTGATTTAATGTGTGGTAGAAGGTTTATGGAAAACATTTAAAGCACAAGCAGACAAACAATATAACATGTGGTCTGAAATGTGGATTTAAAGCATCCGGGAATAGATTAAAAAAGTGAAAAACTTAGCTTTCATATGTTTTTCTAATCAACAATTTCCTTCCAAGCTGTCTAGAGTTTTAAACTGCCTTGCATGTCTGTGTAAATGTGTTTTATGTTTGCGTACGCATCCTTTTTTTCTGTGCCGTTTCCCTGTTCCCCTTCCAGAGATGAGAGCCGAAAAATCTCCCGCGGTTTAATATTCTTCAGACTCCTCACTATGTTTCTGCTCACATGTTCAAAAGTGTGTATGTATGTAAATTCGTTGCATGGGAGTGTGGTCACATGTGGTCAGCAACATTTTATCTTCAGTAATCTAAATTCTTTTCATGCTTGCTTTGTTTTTGTATAAATTTATACATCCAGTGTGCACAAAATACACAACATATTTCTGAATATCAACTTCAAAGGACCAGCTAAGGCACTATAAATTCTCTTTTTCCTCTGATCTCGCCAGTGCTTAATTTTAGAGGTTTATTTTTATAGGGTGCTTATCATTTGACCGATGCAGCAAACAATGCCAGTGCATTTACAGCGCCAATAGCTTTATTTACAATAATTCCATTTCCAGTGTTTAATTCTGTTCCAATATCATCTTTCATTTCTGTTTTTCTCACGTGCCTTTCTTTGACTACTGTCTCTAACTGTCTCACTTTCTGTCTCAGTCCTTCCTGTCCTTGGTCAACCTCCTATCCTCTTCCCAGTCGGTGTGGGAGCTGCTGGGTCGGCAGCCTTTAGCCAACAAGAGCGACTACACCCTGAGGGAGATGCCATCCTCCATACCTGTGAGTGTTTTTCACACACACACAATGTTGTCTGTGCTCCACGCAGTTCCTTTTTCAGCCATTTGAGGGCATGTTTGGACTTTATATTTTGCCTTCAACCACCACCCACGCATTTATTTTACTTTCACAAAGACCTTCCACTAAACCCCCCATTAGACTGGGGCTGATGTACATTTTCCACCTTCCACATTGTAAATTTCCACACTTTTTTTTCGTTTTGCACTATAACGGCTGTATTCTTTTTCACAGCCTCTCCTTCTTTTCCGCAGGATTTGATTGACAGGCTGATTGCTGTGAATTCAGATGTGAAGATTCATTCCCTCTTCCACTATGAGCAGTCTCACACATTTGGCCTGAGGTGGGATTGATATTTTTTTTTTTCATATTACTTAACATCAGTGGGGAAGCACACGATATCGGATTAGCACCTGGTGACTGCACACACACTTCAGCCTGTGGCAATAGCAGACTGGCACGGTTCTTTATACTTTGATTACCCAGCATTGAGAGACTGATGAAAGGATCTCTCTGGATAAGAGAGAAATAAGCTGGGCTGTGTGGGTGTATATGTGTGTGTGTGCATTTCTATATTTATGACGAGCAGACATTCTAACAAGTGAGGAAGACGGTGAAGGAATTCCTCTGAAATGAAAAGCTATTTCAGGTTGGATTTTAGTTTTGAGTCGAGGTTCAGACTAGGGGTGGGGTTACAGTACAGTAAAGTTAACACTGTAATACTGTGCATGTAATAATATCACATAATATTGCATTTTGTGTCTTACAGGCTAGATGAGGGTTGCAACAAAGGTTTATTCCTAAGGTGCAGGCTAAAATATTTATAAAGGAGAGCGAAGAATGTTCCATGCATTTCCATACACATGTGTCCTAGCCGTGTGCATCAAGCTCTGGTGGCTGCTGTGAATTCCTATGGCATTTTAAAAAGCTTTCTGAATCACAATAGCTTCGGCTTGTTTGGAGTCTTGCTGACTCACTCTCTGTGCCTGTCAGTCAGCCCACTCCTATTAACATCCAGAAGCCAAGTGAAAGGAACAAGATGCTCTGTTCATTTACCACCCAGACTGATGGATTAACTGACAGACTTGCTCTCTGTGCCTCTCTGTGGGTCGCTAAATGTGCTAAATGTACCATTTCACTATCAATAAGTCACCTCCTACCATGTTGTTCTTTGATATATTGGTGCTGCCTTAAAGTCCCGTTCCAGTAAGTGATTAAACCCTGAAAAACTTATCTTTGTGTATAAAAGTTACATATTTAGATTTTTTTCCCTTATAAAAATAATCCCTTGCTGCCTTTAAATGACTCAGATGTTACTCCTCACAATTGCCTCCTTTAGAATGTGCACATCTGTGAAATCCCCCAATCTCTCTCCACCCACCCCTCAAGCGCCACAACTCACTTATGACTCTGCTTAAATACTCTAAAGCCACTCTACACTGCACAATAGCAAGTTGTAATATTGGAGGAATTCAGTCAGACATGTTGGAACCAGAAAACGATTCTGAAGAAGTATAATGATATAGAAGACTTTGCAGTTTCAAGTTGGAAATGCTCAGCCATGACGTCGACTGCCGTTTTCATTTGTGATATGCTCTCGAGCATAAAAACACCATATGCACTTGTTAACAAGGTAAAAAAAAAATAATTGAAGATTTTACCCAGGGGAGCTCTTTAAACCAACAACAGCTAAATAAATCTGCTATACAATTTGTGGTCATAAACAAGTTTATTGTTTGAAGGGAACATAGAGATTTATTCCATTTAAGTTCAGGTAATTTTAATCGTCTTGCTTAGAAAATGTGCTCCCCTTAACATGGACGAACCATGAATTAGTAAAAGGTACTTAAGCAGATGGAGTTAAAAATATAGCAAGTGACTTTTGCAGTTATTTTTATTCAGGTTTTACTTTTCACCTTTTTACCGCCATGACAGTTACGCTCACAATCTCTTCCTTGTACGGGTATACACACGACCGTTACATACAGTGCCACAGTCTTTCCATGGAGGAAGCTGCTGTTTAAAATACACCCACGTGACCGATATGAACTTCAGCAGTTGAACCCAGAAGACTCATAACTAACACGTTATCACCCACAATGCAACAGTGCCTGTTTTTATTCGATTTTCTGATTATCCTTTGCCTGAGGGGATATGACAGCATGGTATATGGATTGTGCTTTATTGATCCCAGAAGGGAGAATTGCATCAGTAAAGCAGCATCAATACAGAAGGCCACTGCACTTATTAATATACAATGTGTAAAAAGATATGTAGGCATAACAAGCATATATAGAGTAGTTCAAAAACGGGCCAAGATGGAAATGCATATGAAGGTTGTATTATGTAGTCAGTGCAAGTGTGTGTGTAATAATACAGTATACATTACATATAATATTTTGAGTAAAAACGTGTATGAATGAGAGACTACAAGTAAAATTATAGAGTTTTAGATAAGGACATAAATACATTTCCTTTTAACTAAACAATAAATAGGTCATATAGATTTTCCTGACTGCCAGTTTTGTTTTAAAACATGGTTTCATGTCTTGGCTATTTCTTTCTATCATGAAACAATGATCACTAAACAAACCATAATCACAAATAAAATCTGAGGGAGCACATCCTTTGTTTATATTTGTAAACTGTTATACTTTAAAACTCTGATTATTTATTTTATTAGTAGCTGTGCAGGTGTTTTTTTTAATCAAATTTGCCCATTTTAAACTGAAAAACTGACATAAATCGATGAGCCCTATTATTCATAGCAGAAATCTAATTAAAAAACGCGTGCTAACGATAATGAATGAACCCTGGTTGTGAGGCTCAATACCCAGCGAGCTGACTCACGTCGGTGTCACTACGGCAGGATTGCAGGTGTGTTATTATATAGTGTGATGACAGCTGGCAGGAAAGATCTCCTGTTACAATCACTGCTACACAACGGAAAAAGCAGCCTTCAACTCTTGCTGCTTTAAGACGCTTTGGAGAAGAGGTGTAGATGATGCTTGATTACAGACCAGATAAACATGCAGCCGTTTTGTGCACATTTAGGCAGCTGGCCCATCGCATAAAGCAGAGGTACGTGTGGCCAGACATGCAACAGATGTTTGAAACTTATTAGAAGTTGCTGATGTGCTAATACTGTGGGATTTTTTTTTTGTCTCTCCTGTTTAATTACTTTGTGCGTTAGTATCCTTTGACCCAAGTGATATGTAGTGGACAACAGCTCCCCCTCCAGCCTGATGAACAGTAAAGCTGTGCTGTTAAGTCAGGGTGTTACGACTGTAAAAACGACCTACATCAATGTGTCATTTTTACCTTAATACATAGCATGAGTCATTAATACACTAAACTTGTTCAAGGGAATCTTCATAAGTGTGTATTTCCTATTAGCTGAAGACATTCCAATGGCAAAATGACTGGTTTTGCCGCCTTTCTTATTCTTTTTCCGACTGTCCAAGTTAAGAAAAAAATCCAGAACTTAGTTATTACAAAAAAAAAAGTACAAAATGTTAAAAAGCCTTTATTTCCATGGCTACATTATTAAAAACCACCGGCCGCACACTGGTCTACCTCGAGGTCAAACAATCACACGATATGTGCTGGTCTGGTTTTTAATAATGTAGCTGCAATAATAAAGGGGTTTTGTTTTTTGAAAGTGGGCCTTGTGTGAATTTTATGGGCAATCTATTCCCTTCCTTGTAGAGAGTATTAGGCTACCAGTACATCAGGAGCAGCTGCTTGTGTTTTATCGGATCCAAGTAGCTCTTCCTATATAAACAGAATTACAAGTACTGCATTAAAAAGTTATTAGATTTGACACCCTGAAACCTGCAGATGCTCTTACCAGACATTTGGCATGGCTTTTGCATATATTTCTGTATTTTTGATAGAAACATAATCTCATTACACAAACACAGACAACCTGGCAATCAAACAACTTTCTGATTTAAGGACGCTGTGTTCTTTTACTATATATTCCTGCTAAATAGCACAAGAACTGCTTCGTCTTATCCTGAGCTCAGTGTCAACAGCAGAAAATACCAATATCCTTAAATGTATGATCACCAGCAACTTTTGCATTGTTGCATGTGAGGTTTATTCACAATTCTGCTTTGGTTCAGTGTAAACCTTTAAATGACAGACAGAAGCTTGTCTTCACCCGAGGTCAAACACAAACATATTACTACCTTGTGTGATTATGTGACCACAATAAATGAGGAGGCCCGGCCTCGGTAATGTGTGTAGGCGTTCATATATCACGTATGCCACAAAATGAATAATAGATAACAGCTCCAGGTTGTTCTTTTGTATGAATGTGTTTTCTTCCCTCGAATTTCTGCTTCCTCAAATGGAACACACACAAAGTCGCGTGTGCAGGAGCATGATATTTGTATAAAAGTGTAGAAACTGAGTAACGTTTAGGGGGGAGAAAAAAAAATCCTTTTTAATGGAGAGAAATGTGTTTATTGGTGTATGTTATGGAGGGGTTCCATTTTCAGTAGCTGGATATTTGTTCCTGCCACACAGTTTAGTACTGTGGGTGCTTGTAAGGAAAGCTGTGGTGTTTTTTAAAACCTTTTTTATATTATCATCAAGCGTCTCAGTACTTTTTGACTTTCTTCAAGCTTCAAGATTCAAGCCCTTTCTTACTAAAGGCGCATTTTGAAAATGGGTCCTATATACTGTCAGTAAACAGCATAGTGGCAAAGTGATTTCCTGAAACAGTTGTGAATATCAGAGTGATTTCAAAGGGTGCATCTGTTGCAATTTTAAACTGTAGATTCGTACACATTCATGGCGACTTGACATGTATCTGGAGTTGACATAAAATAAAGTACAGTGTACGTTGTAAGGATTGAACGTTTCACGCAGTGTAACAGCGTCACCGTCACAGTACAATATAGATTTTCCTTTCTATATAAAAATGATGATTGCAGACCTTATCCTTGCAGCAACCTTCAGAGTCATACCTTAGTAACTCCTTTGAACTTTTACAGTGAAATTGGACCACGTCTGCAGTTGTAAACCAGCTTTGCGCTCTACTTCAACAGTGCATCACAACTTTTGGTTTTTAATAGGCTTTAAATCTTTTCTAGCGCATTCAATGCAAGTCTAATCATCGGCACTTCTGTCAAGCAAACATGCACTGAGCATTCCTGAAGTGCAGCCCTCTTGAAAAAAGAAGCCACAATTTCCACCCCTCTTGATCTTCACAAGCTAATGAGAGCTAAAATCCCTCAGCCTATTCCTTGTTGCTAAAAGCCTCTTTGTTGTCATGGCAACCAGCTCTCATCCCCCTGTTTTTCCCCTGTCTGGATTGTTTGGATGCCTTTATTC